GATTTATTTATTTATGAAAAGTTCCTTCGACGTATTTTTTCCAGTTGGGACAGACAACATGTAGACTCTCCAGCTTTGATAAATGAAACATCCCATAAGAAACCATGGCATTTCAGTGATGAACAGAGGATGTGAATGTGGTGCCACTATATTCTCAGCTAGGTTTATTTTCATGAGCTAAGGGAATATAAATATCATGTTATAGCTAATGTGATACTATCAAACTTTTATATGTGTGCCACGTCTACATTGACATGACGCATCAGAGGAGGTTATAAATGGCCAGTAGCAGTGGTCACTTGATAGGCAGTAATAGTGTGAGCTCGATGAGGTTTACAGTATGAAGATGAGGTCAGTCTTGGCTCCTAAACCTGTACGTCTGGGCTGTGGAATCAGCCTTTATGGAAACACCAAGACACAACTTATAAAACTGTCAGACACAACACAGATAGGGCAAAATGATCCACTGTAGCCTTCTGCCAATGTAAGCTCACTGGGACTGGGCTTTAAAATAATTATAACATGAATTAAATATTTAATCAACGTGATAAGTGTGAAGTCATCAAGAAGTCTTTGCAATTTGGAAATTCAAATGTGGTGCTCAAAAACAAACAACCAAGAAAGCAAAATATCAATACTAATCCAGTTCTGTTGTGAATGTATCTTGTTATAATAACAATAAAGCAATCAACTCATTATATTTTAATTGGAGGTCAAAAGGGAGCTGCTTTTAAACTTTTGTACAGAAAACATGTCCATGCCATATTACATACATACATCATGTACATTCCCTTTAAATGTGTGCAACATAAACAAAGGAACAGAAGGAAGACACAAAGCTTTATAAACCCTGTCCCTCGTTTTGCTTGTTGCAGACATTGTAACATTTTCACCCACCACATTATCCGTCACCCACCCCCACGATCACCTGTCACCAGGCAAGGTGTTCTCCCCGTGCTTGCGGAGGTTTCCTCCGGGTACTCCGGTTTCCCCTACCACTACAAACATGCACACTGGGTCAAATTCTCCAGCTCCGGTAGTCCTGACCAAGCCGAGAATCAACATCTGGAGATGGGTCCCCGGGCGCTGTTCTATGGCGACCACTGCTCCTGACGTAAGCCTTAGCGGCATCAGGACGGGTCAAATGCAGAGGATTGAATTGCCCTACGGGGATCAATAAAGTGCACATTTACCAATCTAGCATATTCCTTTCTATTCAATAACAACAAACTTACTGCACACTTAAATATTTTTGTTTTCTTCATAAGGTCACAACTAGTGACCCTAATTTGCTGATACTCTCTGGCCAACGTGCAGGCCAGGTTTCTCTTGTTGAAACAAACCTAATTTAAAACAGTTTGTCAGCCCAAATACCTTTATGCAACAACAGAAAAAGCTTATTTTTAAAATCCACAAGGTGGTTGTAAATGCTTAGTTCCTGATCCCAAACAATCCACGCAACAAACGTGTGACAGCGGTATGTGTTGAAAGATGGCTTTATGATGGACTATTTGCAGCAGGATGTGAGACTGGCTGCATATTTTGTGAAGTGTGAAGAAGGAGCTTATTCGCCCGTCATCCGAGCACTTAGTATGTGAGTGAATGCATGTTGTCTCCGGTCTGCGTCTGTGACTGGGACCCTATGTCTGGACGTATCACTTGATGCATTCCGCCATAAACAGGAGTCTAGACCAATACGGCACGTGACCTTGTTCTTGTCACTGTTGTAGACAATGGTGCAGTCAAGCCCTGTTAGAAAAGTGAGTTAGTATACTATTGCCACCCTTTCTTTTATTGCCACTTTTTTATTGTACATAATTATATCCTGCACAGACTATATTTTTAACCTTTAACATGTTTGCACACTTCTGTCTTTTGCACAATCTGAGTGACTCTATCTATGCCAAGTGTGACAAGTAAATGTCTCCATTGTGAGATCAATAAAGTCTATCTTATCTTATCTTAGAGTTCCAAATAGATGAATATGTGTTTCTTTCATTTCATGTATCTATTAGTCTATTTGGTTGGGACGGTGCATGTTAAAGCCAGAGGGTCATTTCCATTGGTGGTCCCAGGGGGGTGGGTGTTTTTTCCCTCCATCAAAACAACAGTGTGTGGGTTAGATCTATAGGCCGGCTGTACCCACATGTTGCATAAGCCGAGCACTTATATCATTTAAATTAATCATCAATCAATGTGTTTCTTTCAAACCTGCTAATATTTGTTTTCATGGTTTGAAAAGTGGGTTGGCGATAGCATGTTCTTTTGTATATCCATCCCCCTCTCACACAATCTCCACAACACAACCACAATGCAGAAAATCAACCATACAAATCTATATCACCACAAACTACCCCTCCAATAAAGTAAAGCACACAACTTTACAACACAGGGACAACACACAACCAGACAAAGTAGTAATGGTGTTGAATAATGCCCTATCAGTCCAGTAGATCATGTTAATGTTCTTTTCAATATGATTTGAGAGTTGGTTTAATGTCTAAAATATCACACATTTTAAACATTGGCTGAACCTCAAAAGCTGGTACTCACACACTGTGAGTGACGTAATATGCTATTCTTCAGTTATTCATGAGGTTGTTTTTCATTTTAAAGCTCAAGAAATAAATACATAATTTATCCTATTCTAAGCTTTGAACCCAGCATGCAATTAATAAATGTACATAACATGTCTGTCAGGAGGCAAGAACATGCCTTTCTTAGTTTCAGATCTGTATAAACACATTTTATTCAGAAACTATGAATGTTGAACTATTTAAGTTAAATAGCTGTCAAAATATTTACATATAAAAATAAGTAAATAATAACCAGATACAAAAGATGGATAGTAATTCTCAGTTCTTTGGTTTCCTCTGGGTGCTCCGGTTTCCCCTACCACATCTACAATAGGTATGAATATGTGTGAATGAATGAATGACCAGAGGATTCCAAGCGTTACTGTGGATGGTTGGTTCACCAAACATTTTAAAGTGCTTTGTGTGATCTTGAACTTTGAAATGTGCTTTATGAACCAAATCAATCAATCAATCTTCTTTTCCACAGGTTAACTTCTACAAGACTCTTTAAAGGGACAAACATCAGGAACCCCTTGTACTTCGTTACTCTTCCCTAATCATGAATGTAATCATTTTTCCCGCCTTTCTGAGCCAGCCTTCCCCCAGTGCACCCCTGAGCCGATGCCTCTGCTATAAGTTAAATCTAAATACATCTCTGGGTGATGCATGGAGAATGTACAGCTCTATATGGAAGTACAGAAGCAGTGTGCAAATAGACCTGCACAGCTTTCAGATTGGACTATACTGAAAAGTTACTGCACCGGTCAATATTATGAATAATCCTTGTATCGTATTGAAGTGTTGTTCACATATCGGTCAAAAATGGACTATAATCTTAATAGTAGCTTCCCAGAAGCTGTTATCAGTCTGAATATAGCCTGTTTATGAACTGTTTTTGGTTGACTTGGTCGTGGTGACTGTTTCTTGTACTTTTTAGCTTGTTTCATTTATGTACTTGTCTGATGCACAGTGGGGCACTTTTGCACGCTTCTTCCAATGTGGTTTTACTGCAAATGGCAAATAAATTATGTTTGAATAATTATACCCTAATAAATTCTTGCAAATATTCTGGTAGCGAAAATAAGAATATTGATGGAAGTGCCTGGCCAATGAAACAGCGAGAGTGTGATTTTGATGTTTTGGCAGACACTTCTGGCTCCGGTGGTGACAGAGGCGTTAGATCCATCATGCTCCTCTTTCCTCTGAACCCTAAACACTGAGGATCAAACTAGCTCATGATCTCTCGCACCCCACGGGACCACATTAGACCCCAAACCACAAGCCCGTAAAAATAACTGCTGTTGCATAGGAGAGATGTGAAAAAGTTGGTAATACTTTTGATGACAGCAGATAAATCACACTGAATAAAGCCCATAAAAGTCCCGTCACTTTGTGGTTTTAACACCAAGTTGATATTTTTCTAATATCTGCATGTACATTTAAGTTGTTATCTGTTACTGTATGTATGGACAGAATCTGGTTAAAAGTATACTGAAACTATGTTTTCTGAATATAGTATTGTAGTAGGGGTGTGAAAGTCAGAAACTGTATTGAAATTGTATTGAATTTTATCTATTGTGTTTATATTCATAGAACCCTCTCAAAAATTAAATAAATCAATTACAATTTCCAAGAATGTTATGGAAAAGCAAGCATTTTGGCCATTTCCTTTTCTGTTACTATTCCCACCTACTTGACCAACGTTGACTATTCAACAGCGCCCCCCTCTGGCTAGCAGTCTCGAGTGTCAGGACAGTAAGTATCTTTATCTATACAGCGAAATTCACAGAATACAATTTTGGGTGTATCCGTAATTTTCCATTCGAGTAAGCGCTCCACTGTTGTTTAGTCACTTCAGAAATTCAAACACCAAGGCCTGATGATAAATAAAACCGCTTTAATAAAATTGACAGAACAGAAGCAAATAAGGATTCACACAAAAATGTATTAAGCAAATGATAGCAACCTCAGCAACAGTAATGAGAAAAAGGGGAAGACAAGTGTGTGCCATTTCCAATAGTGCCTTACTACATTTAGTTCCTTACTTCCTACTTTTCAACGGTTCTTCCAGTGAGTTTAAATCAAGCTAAAAATGTAGTATTAACTTAACTTAATCTTGATACACAATCTGAACAAGATGAATATGAAAGAAATCAGATCTAAAATATGAAATCATCTGAGCCTGAAAAAAAGGAAAAGGAGTTAGTTTAGTTAGGAAAATTAAACTAACAAATGAAATCAAACACTGGAAAACCGTATCTGCATAAAAATCTTAAATTGATAAATTTCAACTATAACAGGTTCAAACATATCATTCACATTGCGTGGGTGATACGGATTTAGTGCAAAATATTAAATGCAGGTGACAAAAAAAAAGAACAAATTCCACTCCTCATCCACAAACAGGATCCCAAGCGTGTAGAGTTAGACCTCAGTGGAGGTGCACTGTCCATCAGGGCTGCGTGAGCGCACAGGTGCAGTGGTGGGAGGGGCTCCTCTCGGAGGCATCCTGGAGGGCTGGTTCTCACTGGGCCTTGGTCTGCCCCTCCTCAGCCGGAGTGATGCTGCTCTTCCTCCAGCTCTTTCTGACTCCTCTTCACTGCTGCTCGAGGTGTTGTCCTCTCCGTCCTCGGCATCTTCCTCTGGGGAGCTGACCAGAAGTTGTGAAAATGTCTCTTCGAGAGAAGCAGGCAACGAAGTATGTATTCTTGTCACAGGACGGCCCAGAAGTGTGGGGGGTCTTACAGGAGGAACAGACGTCATAAAGCGCAGAGCTGCAGGTAAGGGCTGACCTGTTGTATCTGACCCATCAGCTAAATGTACTCGTTCAGCTGGTGGTGTACTGGGAGCAGACTCTGGGTCTAACCGTAGTCCAGCGACCCCCTTTTTAGGAATATCAACGACGTCTCTCTTGATCTTGCGCCTGCGTCCATGCTCATTTCGGCGATACTGCACCATGTTTTCCAGATCTGCTACATACAAGAAGCCTGCGATCAGCATCTCTGTGCTGGCTTTGCCTTTGGAAAAGGACTCCTCAAGCTCTCGGCTGGTTCTTTCGTCATATTGCCACCAGCCGTTTCGTCCTTCATAGTACCATGCATAGTCTTTATGGGCACCTGCTCCTACCCCTTGGCTCAGCCCTGCCGCAGCAGCTTTCAGCTCTTCAGGGGACAGAAGGACTGGTCGCTCCAGGAAGTCCTCGGGCACCTCTTGACGGCACAGAGCACAGCGCTTACTGTGCCAGGACGCCCCCTTCACACAGAGAAAACAGAAGACATGACAGCAAGGGAGCTGCACGGGGTACACACAGCTCTGCAGGCAGATGGCACACTCTGGGTTACCGCTGGGACCAGGGGAGTCCATCACTTGCTCCTGCAGCTTAGGACTGAGGCTTTTCAAACCAGAATCCACCTTTTCAGAGCCTGCCATTCTGCAAAGAGGAAAATATTGAGCATCAGTAAAAAAATTGATGACAATGACAAGTTTTGGAAGGCCCTCCTGGAACATAATTTGATCAGTGCATAATCCTTCTCCAGCCATGTTGTTGACAATAACAACTCCGCAGCTATGTTAGCCTGTTTGTAATGCCCAACTAAAGTCATTGTACTAAAGAGCCATTCTTTAAGTAACGAATAGAATTGCACTAATGGACAAGTATAATATAAGAACCCTGTGATGTTTAACTTAGGGATAAAATTAGCTTTGCAATAATAACTCGCTTTTTAGTTTTTAGCTAGCCTTCCAAACATGCTAAAGTTAGCACAGCCCTGAAGCTAGAGAACATCTGTAAGATACTCACTTGAGCTGTAGTTTTAAATGGCCTTTCGGGTCTAAGTACAAATGTGAGTACAATAGTGTACATAAGGTTCAGAAGAAATGGTTTGTTGTGTCAAATGTCAGTTCCTGAGTCTGCGGCCGAGCCCTGTGCTCATGCTGCGTTCACGTGCTCTCGGAAAGTCCACTTCCTACTCAAAAACAACACGAACGCTGCTCCGATCGAAACTTGTGCAGAAGTAATAGATCAATAATTTACGAAAGCATCAGCACAAAAGCCTCGCAAAAAACATCTAAGATTGTATAAACACATGTAATATAAGAAACAGCGTCTAGCTCCTGGGTTTCTCATTTAATAACAGTGAGGGTTGCTGAGCCATTCTAATTAATAAACCAATTTAAGTGCATTTCTGTAGATGTTTTTGCTGCTGCACGTGCGTAATATTTACTGCCTACGGTGTCAGCAGCATTCACCTTCTCATGTGGAACTTCAGAGGAAATAGGCAGGTGTTCCTGAGATCACGTGAACGCAGCATCCCACATTGTAATTATATTTATTCCCATTTTTTTTTTGCTGCACGTATAAAAACAGCAATGTAGCTTTACTTTAAGAACGCAAATTGCCTAATCATACAGGACATAACTGCTTGAAAATTGGGCCAGATTCTGGAGCGAGTCATAAAAGATAGAAGATGAACGTAAGTCTGCTTGTTCGCTTCAGGGATGCCACAAGTTCCGATGTGTCCACAATGCAGTCTATGGCCTATGGGAGTCCCATGAGAAGTCCTCAAGGTTAGATCAATGTTAGAATCACGCTGGGCTATTTTTTAATAATTACACTATTATATTTCTATATTATATACCAACCACGCATTCAATATAATATAATCTTTATTGCAATATTTGTGAACCCCGCCCACTAAACAACAGAATAATTTATGCAAAAAAAATGTAACTTGGTTCAAAAGATACAGTGCTTATAGATTTGGCATCAAGCAACGTTTAGATTACAATTGACAATGCCATCCATGAAAGCAAAAGCAAATATTTACAAATTGTTAAATAATAAACACTTTTAGAACAAAGACAAAATGCATTGGTCATTATAATTATGACATAACATTTGATATAAAAGTCTTTCTTTTTTTTAAAATACATTTTTTTAAATGAGACAATTTTGGACAGGGCTTCCCAAAGCGACTTGGGGGATTCAGAACTGGTCTTGTGCGTGTCTTTTTTCCTCTTGGGAACGTTTTCATGCTGTGTTTGCGAACACATGGGCTCCAGTCTGACCACTCTCCTACCTCACAGTGCACTGGAAGAGACACTGTGATGATGAGAAAGACACTCACAGGTGGAAAGAGTAAAACATGATAGAAAACAGTGAAGTGATGGTGTTGGTATCAGTGCATTCACATGTGTGTTTGATATTGCCATTGAAGAGAAAAAAATATTGAAATTTAGAATACCTCTCACCTTGCGGGAGGCACTGCATAAGCTGCTCGTCAGGCTCAAAACCCTTTGGGCAGGTGAGATAGCACAGGCCTTGAAGAGTGTATAAATCTGATCTGCAGCGCACACACATGTTCCTCTGCATGCACAGCTCACAGCCAGCAGGACACTCTACAGAATATATAGTAGCACCATTCTTATAAATATGTTATGTGACTTGAATGGTATAACATTTGTAAATATTATGTACCTATACATTCTCTTAGGCCAGAGTTGGCTGTGAGCCCAAATGGACAGCTGTGTTCACACTTGCCCCGGAACAGGAAACGACCCAAGTGGCAACGGGTGCAGAAACTTTCACTGAATGAGCAGGAGGCACAGTCCTCTTTGCATCCTGTCAAATGGAGAAGGGGTTATTCACTGATGCCATGACCTATAGGCCATTTGAAGGTTGTGCTTAATCATTTTTCACAGAACTCTTGAATATCGACTTACTTTTACAGACACTGATGTGGGGAAGGCGAGTGTCATAGTGGCCGCGGGGACAGGAGGACAGACAAACTCCTCTCTGCTTCATCCCATCCAGCTCCAGGTGAAAGAAGAGGCGAGGTTTACAGGACAGGCAACCATTCAGGGCTGAGCACGTCAAACAACCTGAGGGACACGGCTTTCCAGCTGTGGAGCTACTTGATGTGGAGCTACCTGTAAGACAAAAACACACTTTATACAGCACACAGTAAAAACGTATATTTGCAGTTCCCGGGTCTGGCTCTATGTCAGAATAACATTTACCAATACCCTGGAAATTACAGGGAAACTACCTAACAGCTAATGACTTTGCTAGTCTGGGAGAGTCTACAAAGAGCTGCATAATGGAAATCTCTGACCACACTACTTTCTAAAAGTGGAGAGAGCACGCTTATCATCACCATATGCAGCTTGCATCTGTTTACTGTGTTACTATAAAACACAGAATTGGTTACTACCACATCAAACTGACTGTTATAGGAATATTTACATTTCAAATGTAATACTTACGCCTGTAGCGCATTATCTTGTCCTGGCCTATGGTGAGATTCATCAAGTGCAGAATCCAAATCAGTGATGATATAAGCATTTTCCTTCCAGTTTGCAGAATCTTCTTGGATCACATCTTAAATCAGATGGAATCAAAGAGCAGCAGAAATCCCCAAAAGCATTCAAACGGACCCTTGTCGAGAGCCGAGCAAGACTTGAGGTTTTTGAGAAAAATTGGAGGTTTTCGAATGAAAATCCCATGTGCATTCCATGAGATCACTCAAGCCGGCAGAATGCCACCAAGAATGCAAACAGAAGACAAACCACCTGATAGTAGTAGTTACAAAAGCAGATTGAACAAAACGTTTGTAAGGAACTCTTCCTTCTCTGCTTCCCACACATACACTGGCTGCCTCTCTGCTCTTCCCCTCTCGACCCTCCTTCTGGCCCATTATGACACCACTTTGTATCTTGCCCAAGACCAAAGTGGAAACCTGCAACTGATTTTGGCATAAGTTTTCTATTCATTGGTCAACCACAAATATCAGATTGCAATTTTTCAAAATGATGTACTATCAAAGTCATGTTCTGGTTATGGGAAAAATAAATTTGTTATGGAATAAAAACAATATTTTAAAATGAATAAAAACAACAACATCAATCCCCACACTAATCCCCACCTTGTTTTATTTGCTCAAATCTGAGCCAATAATCCCCAAGATGAGGTATTTTATTCATTAGACAGGAATCAGGAAATGAAAAAATAACAAGTGTGGTATGATTTGACTACCTCCCAACAAGAAATCAAAACTTAGATTCTGACGGCTTGGGTTGGTCTGCCTTTCCCACATAAACACTGCCAGTTGATGAAAAGTCAAGTCCTCCAGTGGATTTGTTATTTGGCATCCTGACGCATATTATCGGCTGTTTTGGGGAACTCTCTGCTTCTTCATCAAGCTTCTCCAAAACAAATTCTAACTGCACTGCATTCAGCCTTCCCCTTGTGCCTTTTCCTCCCCTGGAGTAAACCTCAGGCTCTTAAATCTATAATTCTGCCCTTAAGCTCTGCAAATTTATGAGTTATAACACACACTAAAACCATTAAGAGACGTCAGATTTTCTGCAGTACCGAGTTTGCTTTGTTTTTAAGTATTGTTGGACCGAGCAAACGTCCAACTCTCCCTTACCAAGACAATAAAAGGTGACACAATTTTAAACCAGTGCAATACATATGTGATTTATTAACAAGGGAAAGTTACTATAATACCATTTGTGCCAAAACGCCAACTGTCCTTCCTTTGATTCTGAGCTATCTGGAACCATGTCAAAGGAGATATCGCCAATGAGAATTTACATTGTGGTTGATTTATCTCCACTAGACAAAGCATTGATGCAGCCAGACAGAGGAGCTGGACAGCACAATACTGGTGCAAATTGCCAACAGGTGCTCTGACACACACATTGAAGGCTACTTCTTTAGGGTTTTGTTTTACTTTTTAAATGATGTTTCGGTAATCCCTGCAGAATATGAGCAACACAAAGAGAAGGCAATAAAACAGCACCTCGGGGTAGCACAGCCAGCTCCAGCCAAGTAATATCCATCCATCAAACTGCATGTGATAGATTTATAGATTTGAAACATTGCTCAAAAAGTGGAAATTGTCAACACAGATGACAAAAACGATTTGAAAACATAAAAGTTGAGCCTGTGAAAGATAATAAAAATGAAAAAGGTAGTGAGGGTTCAAAGATCAAAAGTGTAGAGCATGAGTCCCCTCCACACACCCCGCCCCAACCTGACCGAACATAAACATGACAAGGCTCTACTCAGTGGGGTGCCAGATCAGATTCTTTAGAAAAATATCCACCAGAGGCCAAAGAACGCTTCAGCTGCCAAAAAATGAAGGAAGGAGGGAAAAGATAGAGTGTAGTGAAAAAAGCCAACTGAATAATAAAAAGCAGGTAAAAAAGGAAAAATGACAATTTGAACCACATGGTTATGATGGGGAGAGAGGGGAGTTGATAATAATGATAAATTATCAATAAATGAACATCGTTAACGTAATATACAGTAAACAAGGTCTCCATGTAGGTCTAAACAGACATTTAGGCAGACAGGTGGGAGTAATTTTAATACACTTTTAATGTTCTAAGCATAGATCTATTTTCATACTGGCAAATACATTTTTGGACTACCCTTAAATCACATGAGTGCATTTTCTTTTTTGCTTTCTAATGGTGATTAATGTTTGTCTTCGGGAGGTGGTTCGGGACCTTGTGATCTTTTCACTCTCTCCTGTAATGCAACTTTTGTATTAATTGGTTTAAATTGTTTTTTAAATAAATAAATAAATCAATTCTACAAACACAAACCATGCAAAATTATACAAAAGGCCTAAAATGTTAAATACTTCAAAAGAACTAGACAAAAATATCTCAAGACAAAATGTATATTTTTGAATCATGAACATGTAATCAATATTCATGAATATTGTCAATTTCTATCATTAGGTCGTATGCAATATAAACAGTTATACTTACAAATGCCTTTCACACAAAAAAAGTTTGATAGATGGTTTCTACTAATCCTTGCAATTAAAAACTAGTTGACTAGAATATGTCAGTTGTGTCCCTGGCCAAGACATTTAACCCCAATTTGCGTGAAGCCGCTGAAAGATCAAGGCTGTAGCATCGTTAACGGAGCAGCAGCCATCTTCAGGAGGAACAGCGAGGGACTGGTGCTATGTGAATTGGGTGGCAACTCTGATTGCCTCCTGACCCAGAAATTGACTAATAAAGGGGTAGAAATGAACAAATGGATAGTAGCTTATTAATAATGTATAAACTGTAGCAGATCAGTGGACTTCCCATTAGAAGAGAAATATCTTACAATTATGTTTTTTACGTGGCTGATCAATAGATCTAGCCATGCAAACTCTTGAATGTCCTTTATCATTGAATTTTTGTTCATTTGTATTAGTCTGAACTAATTTCTTAAACTACAAGTTCTATGGGAAAACTAAAATATTCCAATGTGATGGAGCAATTATGGTCATGTAAACATTAATGTCTGCTGGCTGTCCATGCACAAATTGCGTTTTTTCAGACTGAAATTTTTATTAAAGCACTACAAATAATACTACAAATTAACCACAGACATTTTGCTTTGATTTGTAGTATTTATAGGATTTTATGCACGGCAAGAACATTCAGTATTCAGCAAGTATTTTAGAATAATTAAAGTGACTGTTTTAAAGACTGGTATTATTTTGTTCCTTCACTACTCACTGACAAAGGAGGACATGAAGACAAAGCTGCATTGGGCTTTGTAAAGATAAGGGGCAATGAGGATAACATCTCTGCACAGAGATAATCTACGCAGCATGAAGAATTGTGGAATTTGGAAGGAGGCCGAGGCCACGCTCATCAGAGGTGCTGTGAGGCATGTAACTTAACACGCTGAGCATGACGAACAGCAAGGAAAAGACGTTACGAAGAACTGGACAAATAATACTATCTGTAATACATACTGCAACATTGTGCAGTATAGCTATCCAAAATACAATCGATAATAATATCTATAAAGAATAGTTTGTCATGATGACAAGAGCTTGAAGACAGGCTAGTGCAGCATCTGGTTGAGTAAAAATAAATAATTTAATAAAACATAAAAATAGGCTTTTTACCATATGATAATGCAAACACTTTTACAGTATATTAAAACTCAATTCTGAATAACTTCCATCTTCATCCTCTTGACTTTTTCAGCATTTTCTATAAAGAGAAACATGTGTATTGTGTTATCATTTTAAATAGTATTTATGTAGAATCATTTATCGATCACAAATCTCCATGCAGTACAGTATTTCTCACCTTGGACGCCGCTTTCAGGTGCTGAGCTCGGATGGTGGCAGATTTTTCTTCAAAAGCTTTAGTTTTTGCCTCTTCTGCCAATCCATTCAGGAAAACCAGTGTTATTAGCTCTATCTAGAGGGAGGAATGCAGATTGTTGTGTACTCCACGTCTCTTCAATTCAATTTCAATTTGATTCCAATGATTCCTCAGAACATAAACATTACACTCAAAGACAGTAGAATGAAAACACTGCTCACCATCGCCTCCGCAGCTGGTCTGACATTTACGTTTGTTGTTGCTTTGCTCTTGATCGTGGCTTTAAGTTTAGGAGCCTTCTTCAACATTTTGGCAAAAGGTCTTTAGCTTTACGGAACAGTGAAAACGGTTTGTTTATGTTTTTCAATCTCCCGCTTTCTGACTTCCGGGTTTTCGTTCTTCTTGAGTGCGTCAGACTCGTGCAGCGCGCGACTGCCATCTATGGGTTTTACATTGTATCATTTTAAGACACGTTGAAGTTGTTTAGACGTTTTCGCACATACTTTTATAAATAACTAGTCCATCCCCTGTGTTCACCATAGATCTATTAGGTGTTCACACAGTGAAAATAGCTGAAAGTTGCTCTAAGATGTATGGTTAAAATATATAAATGCTTTTACATAATATTGACTAATCCAGAAGGGAATTTACTTGGGCTAAAATCTATCCAAACCGAGAGCGAGGGGTGCATTCACGGACCGTAGGGAACTATTAAGTAACCCGCCTAGTTACACAAAATTAACTAATTATGTAGAAGTTAAAAACTGTCGTCGAGTCCTGAGGAAAGACTGAGTTTGATGTGTATGAATGATTAGTGATGGTCGGGGGGTCCCATGGCAGATACTGTTTGCCTCACTTCTGTCTGTGCGCCCCTGGGCAGCTGTGGCTACAATGGTAGCTTATGAGTGTCAGACAAGCACTATAGGAAACCAATGGTTTATTATTATTATCTCTAGAAGTAAGATTGGAAGATGTTGAATATTTCTAATTCCGTTTGATGAAACTAATTGTTAATACATCTATGACATGCACCACAAATGTCAGTTTTGTTGATTGTATGGGACAAGAAAAAAAATCTATTTGGAGTGTTTTTTTTTCTTCCTTATCTGCTGGGGTTTTGCTGCCCCCTTCAGGCTGCTCAGTGAGTTGCGGCCGGTTCAAAGAGAAAGATGGCGGCCTCCGTTAACACAACAAACGGCATGAGAAGTATGCTGCAGTTTATGAAGTTAATCGGACAGCTCAAAGTAAGGCATCCTCAGCGACCATTTACCCCCGGTTTGTAGTCACTGGCTTCATATATTTAATTTACGCAACAATACGTATCAGTAATAATCCACACGTAGCCTATGCAGTATGCAACAATATTCTGAAATACAACTATGGTTGCCAGTAGTATTCAGCTCAGCCGTAGACCACTGTCAACTCTATTATTATAAATACATTCTAGCATGGACTATTCACAATATCTGACTATTAATACAATGTTTTACAGAGAGTCCCACGGACTGGCTGGGTGTACAGAAAAGTAAAAGAACCAGAGAGTGTGTCTGACCACATGTACCGCATGGCCATGATGTCCATGACCATCACTGACCCCACAGTGGACAGAGACAGGTAGCTCACCTATTCTCTTCTTTATTTCCAATCTCGGAAAATTGAAAATGTTAAATCCTGTATTGTAATTGCAAATATTTTGTGAAGTGAACAAACAACTAAAAAGCATTTTCCTGAAAGCAATAACATTCCAAACCCTATTGGTCCAAATTTTAAAGTGTTAAGATAATCATTCAATATATAACCGGCTACTCACAAAGCCAAGTCCATATACTTTAGTTCTCCAGTGATGATAGTCTTTCTGCCCAGTCAGAGTGGAGGTGTAGCGACACAAGTTCATTTTAGAGTACTTAATATCCCGAGCAAACTTGTAAGAGCTCCAGCATCCCTGCTCTATGATATCTACATTAGTATTAACAACATATACGCTAAATACAAATGGAAATGGTCAAGCACCTGTACTTGCATAAAAACCTATACCTACAATAAAACTTAGTAGAACACACTCTTTCACAGTCTTCCATTGAACTTTAGGTGTATAAAGCTGGCTCTGGTTCATGACATGGCAGAATGCATTGTTGGAGATATAGCTCCTTCAGACAATATCAGTAAAGAAGAGAAACATCGCAGAGAAGAGGTGAGTTCCATACAAATCTAACAAGCGTGTGGGAAATCTGAAAACTAAAAAAATTTCTTTCCATCAGGAAGCAATGGGACATTTATCCAACCTTTTGCCAAATGGACTGAGGCAAGAAATCTATGCGCTGTGGGAGGTATAACAGTTGGTATTTGCATATATCCATATTGAAATCAGGCTTTGTTCCTGAATGGCACATGTGTTTCTGCTGCAGGAGTATGAGTCCCAGAGTAGTGCGGAGGCCAGGCTGGTCAAACAGTTTGACCTCCTGGAGATGATCCTTCAGGCACATGAGTACGAGCAAGAGGAGTCGGCACCTGGACGACTGCAGGAGTTTTTCGACTCCACCGACGGTAACATATGGCACATATTGTAATTCTCAATCCCAAGCTTTGTTACTTTCATGTTTTTCTTTCTTCAGGTCGTTTTCATCACCCAGACGTTGTTGAGTTTGTGAAATGTCTAAACGAGGAGCGACAATCTCAAGTGAAAACAACAGATAAGACATCACAAACCTCCTGATCATACGGTTTACTGTTGGCTGGAGCTGATGGGGACTGGTTAGAAATGACTGGACATGAATGAATACTCTAGACAAAAGTCATGATTTTATATATATATATATATATATATATATATATATATATATATATATATATATATATATATATATAATATATATCATGTTACTGTGAACAATGATTACACTGGGTAACAAAAAACATTTTTTTGAAAACAGTCCAGGGTTTTACAGCTTAATTTTGATGCTCTGAGTCCGAAAATGACCTTGGTTTTGCTCAATCAGGTCAGGATTTTTTGCTACAGATATATTTTTTCGATTTTGCGTAAAAAACTAATTTCTGCGGATCATCAGCTGAGAAACCCTTGACGTTTTTTCCGTTTTCCTCAAGAAATAAAAGTCAACGTATCCAAAGTCATTCAGTTTTTATTTACTCCATCAAATATGATAAGCAGAATTCATAACAACGTAGACGTACGTAATCCGTAACTGTATCTCAAAAAGTTGACCTGATAGAGCAAAATGCATGTGATTTTCGGACTCAGAACACCAAAATTAGTCTAAATCAGTTAAGAAACCCCTGACCATTTTTTGGCTGTCAACTTGTGTTATTAGTGTCTTTTATTAAAATATTGTATCACATTTCTACTTCATTACATAACTATAAACACTCAACATCAATATTTTGTGTTTTAAATAATGACAAAAAAGGTTTGTTGGAGATAAATGTCAACATGAATTTTAATAAACACATCTTAGTCACCTTTCACATCACAACAGAAAATGGTTAGCACATGAAGGACACGATAAGAAAGAGCATCTATGGAACTTTGATGGGAATTTTATGGAGTGTTGGATACAGATCTCCTGAACTCGTATCATTTACAGGTGCTTGTTACGTTAAAGTCCTGGGTCCGATTGCAGCTGTAACAATAACAATGAAACATGTTTTACGTGGTCCTAACTACAGCATCCGTTTAATTGAATGCATCCGTTTAAATCCTCTTTGCTCTTCAACATTGTGATGATAATGGGACGAACTATTGTCTTGTACTATTACCAAGAATGTGCAGCAAAATAACTTCATACAAAATAGTCTTTTTACTAAAACAGCAGTTATTATTGTAATAATTTAACAAAAATACATCAGTCAAAATTAAGTAATATTGAAATAGTATGAGGTTTAGCAAAAAGGTTAACAGCAGTTTGGATTTATTTTCTGATCCCTGTCACATTTATAAGCATTTCAAACATGTCCTCTCACATCTGCTTTCATTTACATAAAGAGAGATGAATAAACTCAGACATTTCTGAACATGAATCAGGACCTAACCCTAAGAACAGCCTTTGTGACGTGGAAAACAAAACAGTTTTTTCTTCTAGTTAATTATATTACGTTATAAAGTGACTTGTGCACCACTAGGGCGCACGTTGAGAATAGTTGGGTCGAATCGAAATCTTTGGTGCTGTTGCGTTTCTGAAATTGCATAATAAGTGACTTTGTTGAGGATGTGTGTAGGGTTGTAACACTGAACAACATTTCAGTCTGAGGTCACAGTGCTGCTCCGTGGCTCTTGTTACCACAGTGTCCTGGCTCTAGCAGGATCCCTTGGGGGCCGCCGTCGCACTGTTGGTAGGTGTGTCTTGGTTACTAGCGTTTGCTGCAGATGACAAAACGTCTTCAAAGCTGCCTCCAGGTCCTGTCCCGCCAACCTTTGTCTAAAACACAGATTATTTGTTATGATTATATGCTGCTAATACAGGATGGGCAAATCACCGGATTATGGGTCCATTCATTACCTTGATGCTGGTCACTGTGGTCTCAACTTTCTCCTCGAAGGATTTGAAACTGGGAGAGTTCCTGTAAACAGAAGACGAGTGCAGTCAGCTCCAAAGAACCAAGACATATCCATTTTTTCATTGCGATACATAAACACTGGGTAAACTTGGTCACTGTTAATACGAGGGGAGATAGAACTTTGAAGTGGTTACCTCATAGTGGGCATGCTCATAGACTGTCTGATAGAGTAGCTGTCCCGAGAGCGTGCGGTAAAGGAGATTATGGTTAGGACAAGTACATACAACAACAACAAAAACAATATATACAAATGTGGATGTCATGGTTGTCATTTTTTGGTTCCGTTTAAATGCTCCGTGCTCTTTCCCTCTTGTTGTCAGTCCATTGTGCGTTTGTTGCTCAGTTCCCTGTGTTTTACATTCAGTTGAGCCTTGGTTTTGGTTCTTGTTTATTCAATTATTTTATTATTTGCAGTATTGTATTTAGGGTCCATTTTTTTTTTTGAAACGTGATAATGGAAGCAACTATTCTATTAATAGTTTACTGTATTCCAACAGGCAGAATGTTGGGAGGCCAAAAAGTAAAAGAAAGAATGATAATAAGAGAAAAAAACACTTTGAATATTGCAGGCTAGTTTTAAACATAAGGCAGCATGAGAGCTACTTAAAGCTGGGGTACCTGACTTTTTTCTTATAAATAATACTCTGTGTTTCTCCTGAAAGACGGAAAGAGCCCTGTGAGTCCACTTTTCCTTCTGAAAAATCTGATCTAAAGATGTAAAAGGGGCTAAAAGAACATGAACTTGAAAATTAAAGATGGAACAAACGTTTTTGAGAGCGAGGATGTTTGGATGTTTTTATTTGTATTTTACGGTAGTTTAAAAGTTAATATGAAATTCCTAGCTCTCATTATTTGGATACTAAGGCATTATGGGTCTGATCTGATCTAATCCTGTAAATGTAATTGTTTTCAATGTCCTCTGGATATTGGATACGAACGTTTGAATCAGATGTAATGTATTGGCAGCTCCCTCATATGACCGATTGGCTCCTTACAGTCAGCTGATGTTAGCCGCTGTTAACTGGATTCTCTCGAGTTAAAATTACAGCTTCAGTGTGGGCCTTACCCTATTGACGCGGACCTTAGGAAGCATGAGGAGGACAGGGTAAACAAGATTTAGAGCATAAAAACAACAAGACATATAAGACAGTGGTAGAGGTTGTAGCATTCAAATATACAGCAGCACTGCAAAACAAACAACACAACCAGTGTTATATAAAATCATTCATAATAGTTTGTGTGTGATTCACTTTTGAATCATTTCATAATCTATATTCAAGTTGTCATTCCCATTTTCTTCTTTTGGGGTTAACATAAGGTGGTGATGCTCGCTCCTTAAAAAAATTGCGTCTAAAACAGGCATTCAAATCTCTCTCACTGCAAATCACACAGCGCGGCCATGCTTCACCTCGGCTTCAGCACATACCTTCGTGGGAAAAGCAGCTCAAAACCAGCCAGGCTGAAATAAACAACCGTTACCTTCACATTAGGCATGTGCAAACCATGTCTAACACATAGACAGAAGTTTGATTAGAAATTTGCACTCCTCTCTCCGTGTCCCTGTGCTTTCATATATGGCTTGCGCACGGTTCAACAAGCTTTACGGGCACTGCACTAGTTGGATATAGAGAGAACAAAGAAGCATGGGAAAGAAATATCCAAAGGGCATAGAGTTGTAGATCAATGGGTCCCAACAATTTTGCCTTTTCTATCCCCTCACCAGCCTAGTCTTACAATAAACTAAGTATTATTATTTGTGTTCTGGGTTCCATTTTCTGAATAGGATAGATGCCATGGGGTTTTTCTGTTGTGGAAATTAGCTTGAAATTGTGTAAAACCTATTAGTCCATTTTCACCTCTTTGACCTATCCCCCTGTAGCACACCTAGGGTTCCACATACGCCGGGTTGAGAAACACAGTTATTGATGACACAAGGAGGAAAAGCCAGAGCATAAGTTTAGACACCCACATTAAATACCTTTTGTATCACAGGTATCACACAGAGTAAACAATTTTTCCCTATTCTTTCTTTAAAAACATATTCCATGAAGGACCAGGGCCTTTCTGAGTGGAGTTAGCATGTTTTCCCCATGGTTTGTGTATAATAAATCATGTCCAATAGGTAAAATCCTCCAGCTCTGGTCCTGACTAAGCTTCAAAATCTGGAGATGGGTCCCTAGGCACTTCCCTGTGGTGACCAGACAGATGCCCTATGGCGATTTCGCAGGATGGGTCTAATTCAGAGAACAAAGTTTCCTACTGGGACAATAACGCATAACTTAACCTCCATATCTTTTGGAAATAAAATTTAATCTTCCCTTTGCTTAACTTTTCCCACCCAAGTCATTTTGAGCCAGGGTGTGCAGACGTCCACACTTCCCATCTCTTTATAATCTCTTTAGCCTATACTTGCGCGGCGCGGAGCTTACGGAGGTGACGTGACATCACTTGCGCAACACGTTGGTCACCGCAAGGCCCTTACGTTGCCTGCCCTGCAGCATCGAAATTTTCTAACTACGTAAGGGTCGCCGCAAGGAATCTCCGCTGTGATTGGTCCGTGTGTGTGTATTGGAAGGAACCATGAAGCGGCTGCAGCAGGGACAATGGACGAGGCACTATGGAGCAGAGAACTTTGCTTCGAAGGAAAAGCAGTTTGGGCTCAGAGCCTGATATACAGGAGACTGTGGACTATCTAACACATATATAACTTATAAACTGTGCTGTCGTTTGTTTTGCACTGTTCCTGTCTTGTTTGAATCGTAGCTGCGTTTGTTGCTTTCCTCCTGCACTTGTAAATCGTTCATATTTGTCTCAGATATTTACCTCTATTTGCTGTTTGAACTATTTAATAATAACTATATTTCCAACAAGAACTGTGTCTTTATTCACAGCATCACAGTTGAAATGACTTATAAAATAATGAATCCATAAAACTATCACATAAACCTACAGTAGAAACACGTGTAATGAGCTCAAACAGCTTTGTTTGCTATTGTTGTTCTGAAGAGGACAAAGTAGCAGCGTAAATGGGACCGCTCCTGTGTGATCGCCCTCATGTGGTTTGTTGTGGGATTACAACATTCTCCTCAAAACTCCGTAAGGGGAACGCGCCAGTATAACATCAATTGTGCTTACGTAGGTCCACCGCAACCGCTAACGTAAGCCACGCCGCGCAAGTATACACTAGGCTTGAGAAATAAATTCTAATTGTCAGCGTCTGCTTGCGTACACTTGTTTATCATCTGCAGCGCTAATGGTCTGTTAGGCATCGCTGAACAAAGCCAACACAAGACTTATTCTTCACTACCCACTCTGCAAACAAAGAGGCGAAAGCAGAAGACAGATCCGACGGACAAGAAGAGCTGAGCAGAGATAGAGCCTTAATTCTGTCTTATATAACTTAAGTTTGCCCTGTATACGTCTGAAGATAAAAGAGAAAAAAAAAGTGTAGCAGTTACGCAAGCTGGTTATACAAATATGCATCCATTTAGTAAGCTCATTCATAATGTTGAAAATGATTACCTCATATCTCCAAATTTCCTGGTGATGGCTGTGCCCAGGGTGCTGAAGGCGGCTGTCGTCTTCTGTCCCGCTGTTGACAGTGTCTCTGAAGTTTTCTTATACCTAGAATTCAAATAAAGACATCAAATATGTTCTGAGATTTTCCTTCTGTAGAAAAATCCTATACCAAGACTTGGCGTATACTGGGTTGTGGACTGAAGGCTAGGAAAGGCAAGTTTATTTGTATAGCACTTCATACACAAGGCACCCCAACATGCTGAACAAGACAAGATAGCACTAAAATCATAAATAATCACAATACATTAAAAAGAAAGATAAAAAAAATCCCTCACTTGTATGTACAGCTAAACAGAAATGCTTTTAACCTGGATTAAAACATTGTCAGAGAGGAGAGGCCTGTCTCACATTTTCAGGAAAATTGTTCCAAATTTTAGCTGCATGAATCTGAAATGCAGCCTCTGAATCTGTTTAGGATATTTATTTGCATTTGTGTTTATGTGGTATGAAGTTTATCTAATGTGTTGTCTATAGAGAGACAAAGGTAAATAGGTCATGGGATTTTTTTAAATCTTGTGGGAAAACGTCCCTAAACCCTAAAAGTAGTCAAGGGATCATGTGTTTTCAAATAATAATGGAATTGACCAGATGCCTATAGTCTCCAAAAATGAATACACAATATTTTGGAGCGGACTGATAAAAATAAACCAATGGAATTCGTTCATCCCCAACAAACCAATGGGATGCGTTTACCCTTCACCCTCTTCCTGTTTCTCGCAAGTATGCTCACCTGAGTTATCGGATTTTCTAAAACCTAAAAGGGCTGAACGGAAAATGCCTATTTCTCGTTTGCCACCCACTCTCCATGTTGTGACAAAGACAAGAAAATGCTGGATGTTTGGTTTGGTGGAGAGGCGAGGGGAGGGGGCAGTGGTTTGCCACGGCTAAGCTAACAAAATCGCTTACTGCACCTTTAATTCTTTGCCCGAGTGTCTGTCATTCAACATTTCTATCTCATATCTTCATCCAATGTTCATGAATATGGAAATGTGGATATCGTGCACTTTTGAACTAGAGCTATAAAAGCACACATTGGGAATCTAATCACTACGGCTTGGGCATTTCCCCCCCAAAAATGATTGCCCCCTTTCTCAGTGGCTGCATTAAATCTTATCTGTGCAGGATGGCCGGTAGCTGTCGGCAGTGTCCGCCTTCAGACCGGGGCCTAGTTCATTATGGATGAGCACAGCCTGGGTGTAAAGTGAGCTCCAGGTTAAGGTGTAATTGGATAAGAAGCGAGGCCACAGGAGACGCTCCACTTGTGTCTCATGTGTTTTTGGCTGTAAACGCGCAGAACTGCCCAGCTAATCATCCTTTAGTTAAACTCAACTTGATGAAAGAAGAGGGGGGTATATACAACCCGAGCCCAAGCCAACAAAACCCAGGGGAGTAATTATGAGTGTGTGGAGAGGTCACGGAGAGGGGAGCCATTTCTTTTGCTGCTAATCGTGTTTGTGATGTCTGCTTTTGCGTGCACGACCAAGATTACACATTGTGGCCACGCTTTGCGGTTTTGCCCAGAGGATGATGTTCTTTCAATTGGATTTATCACGTCTGCTTTAGAAATGGTGATTTCAGTTTTAGATGTTATACTTGTACTGCAAAACATGTGGAAAATTGTAACTAGAGGACAATTTTTAGCACACCCATAAAAATATTAATTTGGTTATAATACTTATAAGACACTGTGTATAGCTATGCTTTAGACTAGGGTTGCCGAGATTGACCGGTTTTAAAACAATCACGAATATAAAAGCCTGCGGTAGGTTAACCGTAAATATTTTAGATAGGACAGTTTACCGCTGGTACGGAAAACTCTTGCATATCAAAAGTGAAAGTACTAGTGCCAGCCGCAAACACTTGCACGTGTGTTGAGAGCAGCTCTTAAAGGGACAGTAGCACGTTTCAAAACGAATGCAGACAACACACCTGGACTACAACTATGATGATGACCACTACTACAAAACAATTAGGCTATATAAATTCCTGCATTAGTTTTTTAAATAGGCATTTGAAAGACAAAAACAACAATCTGAGTTGATTTTCTTTCATTATGTCGATAGTTGTGAATAATTTGATAGCAACCCTACTTTAGACCAGATATAGATGAAGCCAAAGCCAGAATATTATTGAGTAAGGTGAGGATGTTTTTATTATTAATGCACATGATCACTGAATCACACTCATTGGTATCATCTCAAGCCTTTTTTATTTCCATCGTATTGAAGCAGTTTTGCTGTATTTATAGAACAGCTGAAGCATTGACTTTTGAGTTCCTTCCAAAAATACTTACGCAGTGGAGTTGGCCATGTCCTGCCATCCTCGACTAAAGTTATTCCGTAGTTCGCTCATAGGAGTGAGGCCCAGTTTCTCTTTGAGCTCAGCGTGTTGTTTTTCTTTGGACGTCAAAACCTGCTTTAAAGTACTGATCTCCTCTTCCAGCTGTGAGAGGAAAATATGCATTTAGTGTTGTTACAGAAGAGACAGAGACCACACACCCAACAGACAATATATACTCATAATTTCATTATCAAAATCAATCATCTTTTTAATCTTATTTTGTGTATCCATGTTACACTGTTCTCTCTCAGTCACAGACCTGGAGTTGTTTTTAGATCTACCCACGCTAATATCAGGAACCTCCAGCACAAACATGTAACTCTGCCCCTTCTGTCTCAGTTCCTGTAATAGAATAATGTCATTGAGCAGTTTTACGCATTTTAAAACAAAATCATTGCTTATTAATTAGTTTTGCCAAGTTCTCAGGTAAAATAACTCTTTTTCCACAATTGCATAGCTGCCAATGATATTGAATATGGAAATGATCAAATTCAACTCTTTCCTCTGATGGCAGCACGGGGATTACAAGCAGAAAGCATTTTCTACCCTTTAGACTTGTTCAAACATATATTCTAAGGATTTTATTTAAGTAAATAGTCTCCTTCTTATTCTTTAAGGTCAGAAATAAAGAAAAATCATTATTTATTTTATTATATATATTATTATTTTTTTACTTGCCTGGGTTTGTTTGTTGGCTCTAACTGAAAGAAGTTATGGGAGGAATTGAACAACATAATGAGAAAACCTTGTTTTCTGAGGTTGTGCGGTGACACATGGTGAATACATTTAATTTCTCACACACAAACCTTCCTCTTAATGTGAAGGGACGAAATCTGGAAGTGAGTGACCTGATATGTACGTTTGTATCTTGTTCAAACAGTCAACTTGACTGCGGCCTTGACATTATTCTCGTTGGCACCAAAGCAATAAAGAATAATGTTTTGTGGCAATAAAGCCACGTGTTTCTTTGTTTCTGATCAGTTACAGAATTTCCCAAAGGTTGTGTCAATCCTACTGTTACACAGGATTTAATGGTAATTTCAGTTCCAAAAACTTACATAAAATACTCTCCATCATGTAAATAGAACTAGTGAAAATACAGTAAATCCTGAGATAAAATTATATTAGATCATTAGTGCGTGTGTGAGTGACCTTGGCGAGCTCCCGTGTCACCTCCTCCCGCTCCTCCTCGGTCATGATGGAGTTGCTCAGGTTGATTTCGGAGGCCAGGTCTTCATCAACCTCTCGCAGCGGCCGAGACTCCAGCAGACCTGCATCAGACCACACATGAGTCCTCCGTACTGTAGCACCATGAAATCAGAGCCACAATCAGGACCATACACAGAGGTCACCTGGGGCACCACTATCCACAGAAAAACACTGCTTCTGCCTCGACTAGGAAGACACAATATTCACTTGGAACATAAATGGATAAGTATTTCTGTTTTCGTATTTGCATCAACGAGATAAAAAGGATGATGGTAAAAATCAGGAATGTCACGTGAAAATGTAAATCTTTTTGCAGTATTGATAATTGGGAAGGCACTTATACGCTTTTTGCTTCTGCCTTCTCCTTTTGGGCTTTCTTTCTTTCTTGAAATATGTGCCTGTAAAAATTTTAAATTAAAACTGCTCAAATAAAAATACTACTACTACTACTTGTAGTAGACAGTATAGGTTAAACTACATGTTAGGATGAGATAACCCTTATTTGTCCTACACTGAGGATATTTCATGGTTGCACTACACAAAACAGAACAGGGACACTCAAAACATGATAGAGAGCTGTACATATTTCAATATTTTAAAATGATATGATTAAAACGCATTACTCACAGAAAGCTTGACCATACTGTTAAAAAGTGTGGTTCACAATGACAGTTTTACAAGTAAAATAATCTAAAATCCAGCCATAAAAAAACATTAATCAACACAAAATTTAGCACAAGTCCTTTTTCTCATTTACTCAATTCCTAACCTTAACCGTATTGCCTTTAATTAAAGCCTGTATGTAGAAATGGACTGTGTGTAGCCAATACTCCCCATTCAAACTAATGACGGCAAAGTCACTTCCTTTCTGCTCCTTCAAGTTGTTTTTGAGTTGTGAAAAGTAACCATAAATTGCACGTTGTATCTATGTTTCCAGAGTCAGAGGAAAAGGCAGATTACAAACACGTCTGCCTGCCTTCTCATCGCTGTGATGGGATTTTTATTTGCAATAACTAAGAACTTGCCAGGTATTTCTTTACAAAATGTGAGTTGCACAAGAAAACCTTAATTACAGCTCTTTATTTGTTTGAACAGTGTTTGTTTGTTTTTACAGTGTGTATTCATTTATTTTAGATTAAATTATGTTTACTGCCACCATCTTTCCAGTTTATCAGCTCAACCCTGAGTTCAGTGGATGTAAATGATTGTTTTGGCCTGGCCTCCGTCACAGCCTGGGAATCAGACTGTCTGCCAATGCCTTTATGAGTGTCCGAAGGTTATGTAATGTATGGCTGCAGTGTGGAGTGCTAATCTGGATTACTGTGGATTATAAGGTCCTGCTCAATGACACACAAACATACAGGCAATAAACTCCTTCTTTGACTTTTGGTGACTGGATTACAGGACTCTTTATCAGTTAGAGTCCTGTACTGCAGATGGAAAATAGCTACTTTGCTAAATCTGGTACAAATCATCTCTTCTTTTGTAAAGACTAATGGTTTTGTACACTGTCCCTGTTTCAATAAACAATAAAGAAGAAGAAGTTGGTTGTAAAGTTGAGCTCTGTGATGATGAGCACAGCACTCATTTGAAGAATTTCCTTGCATTTCTGCTTAAAGAACAGATTGTGTTCAGTTTCCTGGCTTCTTCTCTGCACTACGGCCTCTTTTACGTTGCCCAGGACAACACACAATGGCAAAAAAACTATGAAGACCACATCCAAATATGCAGTGTCTTTAACATAAATGGCACAGTGAGTTTGTCTCATTGATAATAACATTTGATTATTTCCATAAAAAGAGCATGTGAAAGAAAAACTTTGTGAATAATCAAGACAATAACAACATAATGTCTTCATATTAATATAATGTTTTTGTCAAAATATGGTTCGGAATGCAAGTCTATTCCTCACTTCCGTTGAAAATTAATAATAATAATAAATCGGTTTTAAATAGCGCTTTTTGTAGACACTCAAAAAATTATGATCTGCAGATGGTAAATAGTGATGAATCAAAAAAAATACATTGGGACATCTATCGCATCTTCAAAATCAGGATCCTAAACTTTAAAGGAATCATGCAAAAGACGTTTGTATGGATCAAAGTTAAAATATACATAAATTGCCCTGTATAAAGAGTACTGTATATTGTTCAACTGTGTAAATACTAAGCAAGTTCCACAGGAAGAAACCCCCCCCCCCCCCCCCCCCCATTACAGGTACACAGCAGTTGGCATGGTAAACAAATTCCCCTAAGTACCCACATCCATCCAAAAGCAACGAATCACAGATGAAAGAGGCACAGTTTGAAAGTCCACAGATGCACCACTATGTTCAGGAATGTTGGCGCGGAACTCAATGCTGATCGGGGACATACCTGCGCTTGCGTATCCTCCGTCTTCACATAGAGCAGAACGAGACAAAATCGGGTTAGTACAAGTTGATATGTGGTTTAACCCTTTCTGAAGTCACTCTTTGCAGACTAGTTTTACAAGCACAGCATTGTATGAATCAAGGCATGCATGGAAACTAAAGCAGGAACTATCACTCAGGTCACATGCTGTCCGGAAAACACAACTTACACTTTTTAGAGAAGATGGAAGCACTTCTGTTTTTGTCCGTGGCACCAGATTAAGTGCGCTAACTATAATTACAGGATACATTAACTCTATGCTCCTTCTGTAGCTTTTGACCTGTGTTTTGAGTGTAGTTTGGAGTCGTTCTTAACATGATTTTTATTTATTTTTTTGATGCTGAGGGTCACATGATGCACATTAACAGAAGGCGCTGTCTGTTTATAACAAAGACATACCGTATCTGTGAGATCAGAAATGTTCGAGATGCCAGTGGGGACATAACTGATCTGATGTGCTACGAAAGACACATGCTCCTCAAACATGTCATTCCACATTTTTGTCTCCTTTGAATGAATCCTCATTTAGAACTATTACAACTATAACAAAAAAAAGTTTGGCCCTGCCTGTAGTCATAGTCCTGGCTTCATGCTTTCATAATTTTCAATACATTGCATTATAAGCATAGCCACATAACATACAGTAAGTATGAATTGATGAATATATAAAAAGTGAAACCAAAAAGAGCATTATTTTTTTTACAAGCTTGTCTTAATGTTAATCGAAATGTTTGTAGTGTTGCCACAGTTCTACATTTCAAACGAGATTTTGATTTCATTTCTGATACCACTGTGACGGTTTGTAAATGCTCTTTTTTGTTTATAAGCTTTAATTGTTCAAACAAAACAACTTGTGTGTGGAACTCCTAGGTTGTTCTTGCAAATACTTCGGAAATAATTGGTTTTATTGCTCGGTATTAATTGTTTTAGAATTTATACTTGCTCAAATCAGTATTAGCTCTAATATAGAACCAAGAAATCAGCAGCAATATGTACAAGGGATATGTGGAATTTAAAGGAGAAGCATAAACCAGGAGATTATATTGATTCAGCTTTTGCAAAACAAACACTGTAATAATAATACATTTTCTGTACCAATATCTAATGAAGATTGTCTATAATCATAATCAAGTTGCTTCTCCTTTAAACACCTTCTGAAGCGTCATCAACTCTACATTGCTAGCCTGTTACAGTCACTAAATCCCACTACATCAGTTCTACCTCTACCTCTGTCCCTGGTCACCTGTACTGTCCAGCTGCATGTCCCATGTGTAGGACATGTCCCAGTGTGTCGTGGGTCCCCACTGCGACCCCTCGGCCCCATTAGGGACCACCTCCTCCTGATTATCTCCTGAGCAAAGCCACAGTTTAAATGTAGATCTACAAATAAGAAACTTGAGGAGTTTTTGGCAATTCTAAAGCAGGAGATATTGAATTTTAAATGTTTTATTTTTTCTATTTTTGTTGGAGAGCAGGTGCTAATATTTTAAAGAAAAGTTAAAACTGTTTTCGCGGATAATTATTTTTTAGTGATGTGGATTATATTTTAGGTCTGGCAAGTCCTTTCTCGTACTTGCCAATATCATGTTTTCTAATATTGTCACCACTTCTAGACTTTTTAATGCTGTGATGTCACGTGAACCTATCTATCTCCAAACATGTATCCATTCGATTTTGACTCATGGTTTTGCTAATATAGAATAATAACTAGATCTATTGACAGCATTTTGAAAGCTAGATGTTATTCGATATTGTCAACGTGAAATGCTGCTGCACTTCAAGCACTGCACTCTTCACAGCACACCCTCCAGCACATCCCATTGGTGAGAGGGGCCACCACACTATTCTTCACTATTTGTCACTACATACTACAAATACAAACCTCCTTCCATCTATACCCATCCATTTTCTTACTACTACAGAGCTGGGTTACAGAGGCGGCAGCTGTCGTCACCTCCAAACTGAAGCCTGCGGTGGCCCTCTGTGTAATTTTATATAGACTCTGCCGCAAACACAAAGAAGTCATTGAGGTACTTTCACAGTGTCAGCCAGCCAACTTCAGCTCCGCCAATATAGTCATGCTGTACCTCGTGGTAAAGCTCAAAACCTTTGGAGTAGGGGTGGGCGATATGGCCTAAAATTCATATCGCGGTATAATTTGGGTCATAGACGGTAGACGGTATATATCGCGGTATAATTTGGTGTGTGAATTTCAATATAGGTCTAGCAGGTTCTTGCATAAAATAGTCAAGATTGTTAATTATTTATATATTAGAATCTAATATATATTTTTTGAGTTAGAAAATCAGTTGTGAGACGAATAAAGAGACAAATAACATACATTATTTATGTATGTTACAGTAAATACCATTCACTGTAAAAGCAATTTTTAAAAAGAAAAACATATGCATTCATTTAAAATATAAAAAACTCACAAATGATGAAAACAAAGTCTGTAGGAGTTAGACATGGTCATTATTTATAGTGTCTGAGAGTTTTGTGCAGGTGCATGACTTCAGTAAAAGCTGTTTGTTTACAAAGCTGGTCTTGCCATTTGTTGACGCTCCCTAAGCGCTTGCAGTGAACTGGATGATTCAATGGATTTTATGTTCATTAAAACAGCGCATTGGATTTGAACAATTGATGTAAATGATCATTTTGGCACAAATAATTTTGTTTAACAAAGTAGCTTTCGTGAGATATTGACCGCGGAGGTCCGAATCTGACGCAAACTTTCCCAAACTTCTGCTGTGATGCTGCTGCGGACACGGCACACGCATGGATCTATTTCGGCTCACGATGGCGCTTCGAGCCTACGCCCCTTTGACACCGATTGGCCAAAAGGTAGACTCTTAAACTGTGATTACTGTGTGTGTATTTACCTCTGCTGGGGCCGCTGTGACAACAATACAGAGACAGAAACACGGTGTTAATGCCGTGCTGTTGTTCGTTGTTTCCAGTGGTGTCTGCTAGGCTAATGCTGCTGAATGCCGGTTTGTTTTGGTCCTTTCTGCTGGCGTCAGAGCCTGCGCAATTTAATGACATAATGACCTATCGCAATATGCCGGTATAACAAAAATCTCTACCGTGGGCCAAATTTATACCGTCTACCGCTTATACCGTTTATACCGCCCAGCCCTACTTTGGAGTCCACTCATTAATAGTATACAGTATACCGCTATTCGTTTTTGATTGACTACATTTTAAAGCCCAGCCCGGATTCTAGTCAAAGTAGAGTTTGGTCAACAACATTTGCCCTCTTAGTTACTAAAAGGTCTGGACACTCCTGATTGAGGTCTTGCTTGTTTAGTACTAAATCTATTGTATGAATCTATAGTGCTCTGATGTCCCCTTATCACCAATGGGACTGTCCTCTGGCACATTAACCTGTAGATGGGTTCATCATGCTTTTGTTGGTCCGTTCTTACCCTGTGATCTCTGGGATGGGTAGGAGTTAACCCATTCTTCGTCAGGACCCATGCTAGCCCAGTCCAGAACGATTTCACTCAGAACACTGGAGTATTGCTCTGCAGCGAGTTAAAGACACTACTATACACACTAAAGTTCTGACAGACACTACTCTTTGTGGCCTTTTTATCTGACGGTGCACCTTTAAGAAACAGGATATCTGACATCTGACCCAGAAGTTGTCTGATTGATGAACAAGAAACACAGAATTTTCAAACAAGGAACCCAATAAACTCAAAAGTATGGATCACCGAGCACTTTGAGGATGTTTCTGGTGAAATGCCATTACACTGTCCTATGCTATTTAAAGAGCAGGACAAAGACACTATTGTTGACAACAACCTCCACTGGATGTACTGATGTTCAGGCTGCAGTATGTGCACTTGTGAAAGAAATTCCAGAGCTTTTCTATGAACTAAATGGAAAATAATAAAAACATATGTATTACTATGGCATACACATCACAGATCTTCTGCTGGTGGTGTCCACTGGAATACCTCAGGTCACAAGATTCCCATTTGGCCCTGTGGTCATGTGCCTATTCTAAATCAGAGACCCGGGATGGTCATATGGCTGCCAAATCAATTGAGAAAACGTTGGGGACAGTAAAATAATAACTGATTGAACCATACACTTTCTCCTGTTTGAGATCAATAAAGTCTTATTTTATCTTATCTTATTCCCACGTAGGTTAAAACTCCCAAGTCACCATTGCATCTTATGTGTACATATATACCAACTGTGTATAGATCTATCCTATCCATTATGTGTCATCACCATCTTGTTAACTATTTAACAGCTACGCAGACACAGGAATGCAAATCCCCAGCCTTTGCAAACACGTCCACTCAATAAACATGGGCATACTTTGTCAACTTTGCATTGCCTCCAAAAGGTTCCTGTTGACTTTCCTAGGCGAGTATGTCTTTAACAACGAAACTAGAATTAAATAAATGATTAGAATCTAAAACACCCCCCGCTGTGCAGGCGTGCATAGAGCGCAACACACGGTTATTTTACCCGCTTTAAGTCAAATCAACACAGGCACTGACGTAGACTGAGTGACGTACACATTAACACAGATTAAAACAGCAGGAGTTAGTACGATTATTATGAGGATTAGATACATGTCCTGTATTGTGCTAATAAACCCACCTTGATGTCGGGTTTCCATGGGCCAAGCCAAGTGCGTCTGTGTGACAGAGAGGTGGATGACACACGCGGCGGAGGCTCTCGGCTTCACTCGGCTTCACTCGGCTATCTCCGGATGTCACGCGCTGGGTCTTGGGTCAGCTCCAGGGCGGGGCTTCAGACCTCCAGACACTGACCAGTCGATATTATTGCGCCCCCTGGATGTCATGACAGGGGTTAGTGGTAAGATCCATGGGTAAGAGGCTACAGTAATTGCGGTAAGTAATATCAAGTCCTTCTGCTATTGTGAAGTTGTTATTTCACAGCAATTAAACGATTAAACAATTAAATTATCATCCCCATGTTTATATTTAGGATGCATTGAAAGAAACTTATTCCTGCATTTTGGCAATTAAGACATCTACTGAGGTTGGGTTTCTTGGAAAGTGCATGAATGTCAAAATATAACATTTGTTGATAGTAGGATGTTTATTCTCATACAATTAAATTAAAACAGTGCTTGGCAAAATAACAAATTTTATCTCTTCAGTAAATACATATTTTTCTTTTAACAGATAATTGTTGTCACCTGTAACACACCAACATCATCATCACAGTATTCCATATGAATCCCATTCAGTCTTATTCTGTCATTGCTTTAACTGGAGATTACTTTTTATTTATAATCAGAAAACAGCACAATATGTCGAACACTTCAGGTACTAACAAGATAGGGACCGTGTGTTGCATACAGCAGTATCAACTTTATTGAGAGTAAGAAACAAAAAGAAAAACAAAAAGGAAATAAATTATGATAATTAAATAGTTAGCAGTAAGTGCTCAGAGATTCAGATGGATGTGAAGTGTTAAACGTTATCTTTAATTTAGGGCTTCAAAATATATTTGTGTACGCGCGTTTCTACATTTGCAGTAAATTGAGGCAGGCTGACTAAACTTATTTTTGACACAGCAGAGTTGAATTTCCTGAACTGGCTGGTACACAGCTCTGGCAAAAGCAACATTTTAAAACTGCATCTTTGCAACACAATAATGCAGATGGGACGCTTTGTGCAGAGAGAATACCAACTCCCTGAGAGTATTCAATCCCAGAGTGATTTCCCCTCACACACAGCACCCACTCTGCAGAGCACTGGCTCTTCCAGCTCAATGTTTTCCAAGGAAGTAAACCAAAACTAATGAAAAGATGAATATGCATTTATAACTTGTTTACTGTTTGTTCAGTTGTGGTTTGAAACCGGAGCTTTTCCATCAGTCCCAGTAGAAACAAAGTGCATTGTTATTGAAGCAGTCCAAAGAGCACTATTGTTGTCTCCAGTGTAGCACATACACAAGGGCCAGATGCACAAGACATTCTTGTCTTTGTCTTTGGTGACAGCCCATGCTCTCAGTACATTATGAGGTGAGTGACACACAGCTGTAGTTGCAGCTGATGCCTCAGAGTCCTGTGTCCCTGTAGGAGGAGGTCATCCTGCTCTTGCCCTGTTTGATCGCTCACTAAAAGCAGAGGCCAAGGCACACAGTAGAGGAAAACAAAGCCACGCAGTAAGAGAGGTTAGAAGACAATGGTGGACAGCGGGTGGACTGCAGCCAAACAGACCTTACTACTGCTACTACGACTTTGTAAATGAGTTACAACCCACTGTCACTAAATAAACAAACATTTCCTTTCGCTGAAAAAGCCATAGAGCTCTGAGCAGCTTGACATATAGAAAGTGCGCACAAACTCATTTCTTCCAGTAACAGATTCAAATGGACCTGTTGTGACAGTTTAGAACGGACAATGTAGAAATGACAAAAAAGAAAAAAGCTCATCTGTAACAATAATTTTTCTTCTAAAAAACAAGAAAAACACATTCAACAGCTTCTTCAAGGTTAGGTCTAACTGACAAGGGTTTGGCAGCACATAGATCCAACCACATTCCTCAACTAACCGTTTTGTGGATACAACTGATGATGGCGTTTGGAATCAGTCCTGGGGAAAGGGCAGCGTTTTCAGAGCTGAGGGTTTTGATCTGGTATTTGTATCTTTAAACAATACCGACTTTTAGGTGAAAGAAAGTAGCACTTGCATTGCACTTTTTGCTCATTGTTTGCACAGCCTTATTTCCTCTAGAATCCATAGTGTTTTGCTCGTTTGGCAGCAACAAAAAAAAGTGTTCTATAACGTTTTGATAGCTAAAAAAAGTAAACGCTGATATTTGAGGAACAGCAGCTAACACGTCTACGTCTAAATTCATTGCAGGGTAACAGTACGTCCCGATACGTCCGGTGGGGATAACGCAGACCGTTTTCAATCGCAGAGACGATCGGATGTATTTGTACAGAATGGAGATTAGTCTTTCCCTTTGGCTTGAAGTGTAAAGAAGAAATCTCAGGGTTTAATTGGTGTTGACCCACGAATCCCTCTGTACTTGAACGAGCGCTGGCGACGGTGACTCTCCCTGAGGTTTTGTTTTTTTTCAGATCCAGCGTCCAGAGCCCTGAGAGTGCTGCTTTTTTTGCTTCTTGCACACGTAGTAGATGGGGAAAACTACCAACCCTGCAAGACAAAGTAACACATTTTTAGCGTTCTCTCATTTATATTAACATGGGATATCTTTACTACAGATTGACTACAACACATCGCTAAATTAGTACATAAAGTTAAGTTAGCAGATTTTTGTGTTTCCACCAGTGGGGGCGGGTCCCGGCTCAAAAGTGGCCAAAATGACGTGCGCTGACACGCTTGCAATACCACCCCGGGCTGATGGGGGTGGACCCGGAATAAGAATTAGCTAATGCTAACATATAGCATCTTCTCTACCTCTTTATAGGATGGTCCAAAAGTTGGCTCTTGGCCCAAAGCTCCGTTCCACATGTGTGTCAATGCTGAGGGGGGTTAATTTTTTTGGACCACTCAAGTTTACTCACTGTGAATTTTTGAAGTCACTCGTTTAAATGAATGGAGCTCATGTCGGCTGACGCATGCGCAGATGGGTTTTTTCACATTTTCCAGCCCTGCGGCCATTTTGAATCACTCCATGAAAGCCCAATTTTTGGCCCATTAGTTAGAACGGTGGAGATAGGCGTGATTACGTCCGTTAATATATACAGTCTTTGGTTTCCGATCTTGTTTTGTAACGCCCATTGAGTTCAGAGTATGAATTTTGCCATACTAAAAATCTTTCCTTGCCTTTCCTTACAATTCAGTATAAGATCCTTCATTCGTGCCATTGGAATTTCAGTGCTGCATCACAAGTTACAGAACGGTAGAAATGAGAAGGACAAAACAAGCCTCTTTAAAATCTTAAGAACTTCACTGCTTTAACGGTGGTTCTTGTGGCAATTGTTCATATTCTACCTTCGAAGCGTCTTTGAGTGTCCAAAAAAGCACTATATAAAACCGATGCATTATTATTATGATCATTATCATTATTATGTCATCTACACCTACAATTCTAAAAGTGTTCCAAGTATGATCATCAGCTCATGATTATGTAAAAAAAAAAAACATAATCACCAATTATGAGGGCCAGCGCTCCAAACACCACCACTAGCACTATGACCGCTGGTGCCATCAGAATCTTAGAAGCTGTAAAAGAAAGAAAAATACCAAATTAACCAGATGTTAGTCATTATTATGCATATCGTGCTCTTTGTCTGTTGAAGCACTCTGCTGTTTTAGTAAACCAGGACAATCTCATCAGTAACAGCCCTTCTGTTGTCACGAACCCTTCTTAATCCTAGACTCACAGGTGGAAGTCCAGGAGGATGCAGCATCGCTGATCAAAGGGAACTTGTGGCCCTGCTCCTTCTTGTCTCTATATTTATTTATTTATATACGCTTGATGTTTAGCATGTGATTTGACTCAATATTAAGAAAGAAAGATGAAAGACTTAATTAAAATACAGGTTTGTTTTAGGAGCAGTGTGTGCACAAAGGCAGAAATATACGTAAAGAGAATAGACAAATAAACATGGCTGAAAAGTGATAAATTATAGATTCTTGGTGGGGCCATAACTGCTAGGTATAAAATAATTTCTGTATGAGCATTAGCAACTTTTAGCGCCTTGCATGATACAAACTAAATGTAACATCAAAAATTAGATTATGAGGTCAGCATGCAAGACATTTTTTTATTTCAGTCATTATTAAGGGATGTGTGTCCTGTAAAACCATCTCCTCAGCCTCATGCGGCTTTAAAACATTTCCTACAACTAGACCTGCCACAATAATTACCAAACAGACATATTGTTCAAAATCTGACCGATCAAACCATGTATTTTGGTGCTCAATATTAATGTGCATATGTACATTTTCTTTGCAAAAGTGGAGAGATTTTTTTGGATTTAGAAGGTTGGAGAAGACCGATTATTTCTTCAATCTACTGTTTATATTTGTGCATGCTTTCTAATGAAACAGAAACATTGAAAAAGAGGAGAAATATCTGAGGCACTCTTGACTTATAAAACTAAAACTCCTTTAATGAACAGGGATTTTGCAACACGTAGGGCCTTATTCAGGGCCTGTGTGAATGCTGAAGAAGGCCCTACATGGTCAAAACGTGTTACATTTTTTAAATTTTTTATTTAATTGTCCTCTCTCCATAAGTGTTTTTGCCACTGCTAATCCTGAAGATGAAAAAAAGCTTCATAAGGATTTAATTTTTCTGCATTGTATTTGCATCAGTGGCATAAAGTAGCTTCAAAATCATTGTTTATGGCAATCATTTCCGGGAGCAATATACATCGTCCATCAAAATGAGTGATGATGAGTCGATGACAGACACAGAGAAAGTCCAGCAAGGAACCCCTCACCGCAGACGGAGCCCCTGACAAAGCGCCTCAGGTGGGGTTTCCCGGGAAGATAGCGGTACTTGCAGCCAAACACGCTGAGGTTAGACGTGTGGTCCCCAAAGAACCTGTAAATGCAACACGTGAGGCATGGCGGATCACGGACCTCCAACACACCTCTCCCTCTTATGTAAATGAAACCGACCGTAAATGTCTGTAGCGTTCTCCGCAGCGGTAACAGAAGTTGGTGTTACATTGTGCGCAGGTCATGTGATCGCAACCCTCCGTCCGCTGAATATGGATCTGCGGAAAGATGAGACCGCGGTAATATTTTGCATGAGGAACAAGATGAGAGAGGTTTACAGGAAAGTAAAAAAGAACGGTGTGTAGCAATCTGTCTTCTCAGCTTTGGCAGATTTGAAGTAGGCAAGGCAAGGGTTTTAATTGTATAGCACAGTTCAGACACAAGGCAACTCAAAAGTGCTCAACAAAACAGAATAAAGAAAGGACATTTAAATCATAATAATCACAATACATTAAAAAACAGTTATATGCACGGCTAAACAGAACCGTTTTAACCGTTCACACATTTTCAGATAGACTGTCCCATGTTTTGGCTGCATAAAGCAAAAGTGCTGCCTCCACATGTTTTTGTCTTGTAAGTAAAATATTGAGAACAAATCAGGCCACAACATTCTGTCTTTGCATAGTTGTAAGAAAGAGCCCTGTGAGTCACTATTTGAGGCTGAGAGCTGATTAGAGGAGTAAGACTTTTCCTCCCTTTTTGACAGCGGAAAAAATATATGCAAGTGAAAACTAGTGATAGAACCAAAGCGTTTCAGAGTCAGGAACTTGTTTAAATACATACTAAGTACATTGTCTGTGATTTGGAGATTAGGTACCCCTGCTTTAATACTGTAAGAGTCAAAAAGCACAGTATAGGGGGCAGAGCGTTTAGCTTCCAAGCTCCTGTACTGTGGAATCAGCTCCCCATCCACGTCAAGGAAGCAGCCACAATCTCTACATCTAAGGCCGGGCTTAAAACGTTCTTCCTTAATTCAGCGCATGGTTAGGTAGGTAAGATATAGAAATAAAAGTAAGTAAGTAATATTTATCTAGATAGCGCTTTTCAAAGACCAGAGTCACAAAGCGCTTTACAACTGTGGGCATTTGTCTCCCACTCCACACAGAGAGCGGGGTCGCCAGTCCAGGAGGCACATGCCAGACCTATTGTACATGTTTTCAGTGGTAGAGGAAACCAACGCAGACACGGGGAGAACATGCAAACGATCCACTCAGCCACCGTGCCAACCTTGAAAAAAATTGTCATAAGGAGACGCTTTGCTGGGAGAAGTATACAGTATTAAATTGAGAACTCTCCTATCCTCTCTCCTCCTTTATCGGTCTTCATTATGACTTCAGCTGTAGTCTGTTCATTGCTATTCACCCGCTGTCTCCTCGTCAGCTTCATGGAGCGATGATGGGACTTGTGAATCCGACTCGTGGGCATCATGCGGTTGCTTTTTTGATAATATAAGTGAATAGGAATCTGACCTAAATAATGTAATGTACACAAACCGCTCTCGTGTGTGTAAACCTCCAGTCTACTCCATGACTTCAAGAAATTCCTCCACAAAAATATATTTACCCCGGTCTGTTTATTGAAACCCCTCTGCATTTGAAAAGAGCCGGCTATGCTGCACACAAGCACATTTTGAAACCGCATTTTTCCACACTTAATCGCGTGGAGCTGCTCTTCTGCTGCGACACGACACTATAGATCTTTGCCACCGGGGCGTCCGTGCCTCCAGTTCACCTACTCTCAGCCCATTTTCAGCTAAACCCAGCGTGACACCAATTTGCAGGCTTCTTGGCTCCAACACGCTCCAATGTGCCTCTCCAAAACGGAAAGTGGAAGAGAAACAGAAGCACAAAATGAACCCAGATGGGAAACATTCAGTGCTGTGAGTAAACAGTTTCCATATTCCGGTAATTAGCTTAATTTATGTCTTCCTCCCGTCGTGTTGTGCCTGTTAAATTAGATATTGTCTGCTTGGTCGTAATGGGAGTGAAAGAGGAGGGGCAATATGAGCTTGAAGTAGACACAAGCATAGCCATTTTCCTATTACCTGCATGAGCCTATTTCTGTATGTCCTTCTCGCGTTCTTTTCTTTTCCATCCATCACGTCTCTTCTCTGCTCTGCTCTCTGGCCTCCTAACCCACATTGATTTCTCCATCTGCAGTGATCCTAATCTCCCTCACCTGCCTGCTCAGCTCGTGGGCGCACACATGGAAAACGCTAAACAGCCTACACAGAGCGCTTTGGATTTCATTGAGTCAATATGTTGTGCTTTTGCCAGCTAAAATATACAGTATCCATGGTGATCAATGCCAAAACTAATATCACATATGCATTTAACACTTTTACTTTGTTTTACTTTTACATGACTTACTGTTGGGTCAAACAGCATGTATTATTGATGAAAAAAGTTAGGCAAACTTTATAAAGGTAATGTCAGTGTCAGGGCGGAGCGTTCAGGCCACTTTTATGAATGCCGAAAGGTTTATTCAATGACTGCAAATAAAATTGTTCCAAAAGGTTTTCCCATGGCAGGCGAGTAACAGTTAGGCTAACAACTTCCAAACGAGAACTCTACATGAAAACGGAACAAAGAACATCAGCGGTGAGTGACACATACATAAACTCAACCTAAATCCATAATTTGATCCTCGGCAAATGTGTCTTAAAATGATATTTCATGTTAATGGTTACTTCCGGGTTTAGCGCGATTGCTTTTTGTCACATAGAAACAGTATTTTTGTCATGAAAACGTAAACAGATAATTCTGGAAACCTCCGTGTACGTGTGTTACGAATGTATATGTGTAATGTATTCTCCGATTAACATGTTTTTATTGATTGTTATACATGTCTATTGAGCGTGGCTAGCTCCGATAGCTTCTCTCGCAGAGACAGTAGTAGCGACGAAGTGGCCGGACTACTTGCATTTTTACTTATATAATTTATTTGCACCGAGAGCCAAAGAATTTTCCTAGTTTATGACTTTCTGTTACTCAAAAGGGCAATATAAATATACAAATATTTCTGATATTTCTGACCATGAGATGCTGTACTATTATGTATAGTTTGTATTGTTCAACCATAAAATTGTCCCTCCAATTTGGCATAACTACCATCAGTAAGATTTTCCAGAGGAGAATTATTAATCCAATAATGAGGGGCCTGAAGGACTTGAACTTATTTCGACCAATCAGGAAGCGGAGCATGGATGGGTCTAACAAGAAGCTTGTCTTCAGAACGTTTCACTCTCTTCACAGTTTGAAAAGTAATTGACATAACCTAAATTGATGAAAGGTACAGGCATTTCTGTAGCCAAAAAACTCAAAAATCTCTCACTCACTTTGCACTGTGGGCACTTCTGAGCGTTTCTCTGTCCGTGCTGGATGACATTGGCCCACGATCGGAGAAGTTTGTCTCCTTTTCTGTACTCGCGGCACTTGAGACCGTCGTGCCAAGGGGCGTGGCATTTGAAGCACCACAAGAATTGGCAGCTGTCACACAGGATCTGCGGAACATAAACAGTACGAGTCAAAAATGTGTCAATAACGATGGATTGGCACTGATCTGTTGTGGAAGTTCATGAATGGAAGAGTGTGTTTGTAGAATCTGTGTGTAAGAAATGTCCCCACTATAGCAGCTTGGCATGAACTCATTATGCAAACATACAACATAGAAAAAAATATTTATACTAATCTAAAGATATATGAAAACATTGTGTTCAATAGATGGTCATCATATATAAATAAATTCCAATCATAATAAACATCAGAAGATGATAAATAGGAAATATTAATAGAAAATTTATAGAAAATTAAAATAAATATGACACTAGATTTCTATTCAATTATTTTTTCCATTTATGTATTTTATTTTGTTTGTATATTCATTTTGCCTTTTGTTTCCTCTTTTTTCTATTATGTGTTATTTTTTATTTTTTTATTTTGTTGTTGTAACTATTATGACACATTTCACAAGGGTATATGCATAACTGTAGAACATGTATATAAACAAAAATATTGTGTTATGCTTACAAAGTCTGTACCTTCACTGTACCAAATAAATATATTTCAGATGGAGAAACTCATATTTTCAATTCACTTACAGATTCATATTTTCTCAAAGATGTGGTCAAAGTGGAGTTTATACGTGAACACACTACAACAGTTGGAAGTGTTGAACATGGAGGATTTGTGACTGAGAATGAGAAAATAAAAATGTTTGAGAATAGATGAAACTGAATATATCTGCAACATCTATATTTTGTCTCAACATTTGAAAATAAAGATTTGTATAATAAAAAATAAATTGTGTGTCTAATACAAAAGAGTGAAGTGGACATGCTTTTGCTAGCTGCCAGATTTCAAATAGAACGGGAACATGTTAAGTCTGGCATTTTTTCAAAGACCTCTCAGCCTAATCCTCCACGGAAGTCCTACCTTGTATTTGTTCTCCGAGCTGCAGGGGGCGTGATCCTTGAGCGATGTGAAGTGGTTGCATTGGGGGCAGGGTTTGGTGCTGGAGTCCAGTTGACTCAGTTCCAGAAAGTATCGATACCTGGCCGCCTCCGCACTGGTCAACAGGGAAAGCAGCAGATCCTCGTCCAGGAAGCCACTGCAGTCCGGGCTCGGGCAGCTCACAAAGGGTTTGGCCATTCGCACCTGAGCATTTCGGAAAGAATGATGTCGAGAGGAAAAAGTACAACACATTAAATTATGTTTATGTTGAAAAACTTAAGACTGGGATGATTTGTTTCACTTAAAAATTACAAGCAAATGCCAAGTGTCTTGAATAATTGAGCTATAGAATCACTATAGAGGCACTTTGTCCCTTGAGATTTTAGAAAGAACAATATTATTATGATTTTGGTGCTGGAAAACAACTTAGGAAGGGGTTGTGTGTGTGTGATCACCTTATGATTAATAAACAACAGGCTCAAAAAAGTATACAAGGAAGAATGAAATCAATAAATTGTGAAAGTAAATTAATCATAGAGAGAACTGAGAACTCTTTAGTAGTGGCGCTGGTGAACCCCAGGTCTCACCAGTCTACTACAGTACAGTATATGCTAACACTGGTATAGCTGTCTTTTATAAACTTGTCTGAACTTGTTTTTTATCTTTGGGTGTCTGTCGGAGTTTCTTGTTCTTGACATAATAATAATCATCCTTTAGGGTGTCCTCAAGCTGATTCACTTCAACTTTGCGCAAAATGTATCTTCATTTTCAGATTAAACTAATAAAAATAATAATCACTATAATCATCACCTCATGGCTTTCGCAATGTTAAGGACCTTGTCCAAATCGCTGAGCAAAACAATGTATTGTTTTAATTAAAATAAGAATTAGATGTGTTACATTGCCTACTTTTAATGTCTGTCGTGACAATGGTCTTAACCATAAAGAACCTTGTGGGGAATGTTGGGTTTATGTTTTCACTTTCACCAGGAACCGTCTTTGTCCCTCCAGTTTCACTGACACACAAACATGCACGTGCATAAGGAAATGTAAGAAAGCATCAGCTCTAGAGTTACACAGAGCACATTCACTCTCAGTAAAAGGCCATTACATGATGTTTTCAGGTATACTGCACACAGGATCCATGCTGGTATTGTTGCCACACACTCTGATGACCACAGACTGGTCAGACTCGTCCCACTGGCCCTGGAGATTTACATGTATGCATCAGCCCCACTCATCCTCCTCTTCTCAGAGCCCACATTACAAGAAACCGGAGCCAGATTGTGTAGGATTGACAGTTTGACTTCTCCTATGGAACTGCAGTATCATACTGCAGAGATGCTTTTAATAGTGAAATGGACTGTCTCTGTAGAGAATTACAGCTCAGCACAATCTACCTCATGCAACTCTGACTTTAACAGCTTCTGTGCTGAGCTCAAGCTAAAATAGGATTGAAATACATTAATGGATAAAATCATTCCACCTCCACAGGCCAACTGTTATCTCATCCACAGCGCTTATCTAAAGAGCTACTGTTTCATGTCTTTTTTCAAGCCTTGCAATCAGACTAGAAGATAATATGAGATAAAATGTGCAATAGAATGACTTTATAGCCTTTATACAGTAAAAATGCAACGCAACTTCAAACTACTCTGACATTAGAACATTTATCAAAAAGCCTTCAGACCACAAGACTGCAAAGTTGAACCACCTCAATGACAAGGCACTTAAGGAGAAAAATGGCTGCCCCGGTGCACTTACACACTGGTTAGAAACAGCCTTTGGCAACGTGCCCCAAAATACAGAGCGCTCAGCTTTATAGAAGATGATAAATGACAGTCAATGTGTCTTCAGTTATTAATTACCATGTATGTGAATGGAAACATATCTCTATTTTTAATAACTTGCTTATTTTGTAATTCTTTTCACAAGAGTGTTTTTAACCACAACATCAATGACTGATACTGATTGTAATGGGCTGGTTTATATTTAGATCCACTGTGGGATAACAAGAAATCGTTTTCTTAGTGTGACAATGAAATGGTTGTAATTTTGCTTGAATGTAATAACTTAAACTTTTAATGCCTTTGCTTTGTTTCTCTTGCTGGTTTTATTGTTGTTTCTTGATCTGATGAGTTTAATGATTTTCTGCTGACTAATTTGGTTACTTTGTCCTGATCTACTTCCTGCATATTTTCCCAGTTAAATGCAGAACAGGACAATGCTGGTGCCCTAGATTCGCTTAAGTATGGCATCTCATCTGCGCTCGAGGCTATAACTGGCTATAACTGTGTAACACTCAAAACAGTTTGGTTCTATCACTTGTTTTCACATGTGTTTTTGGCTTCTGTCACATCTTTAGATCAACTTTTTCAGACAGAAAAGTGAAAAAGAGAGGACCCCCCTCACGACCCTCAGCTTAAAGCCCTCATAAAGATTAAGAGATTAAGACATCCTTTATTCGTCCCACAGTGGGGACGAATGTATATTATAAAATCTGCCTCCTCACTCACCAATGCATTCACTTAATGCTCCACAACACCTGAAAGACCCCCTCGCCATACAGCCCTCAACACGATCCATACAATCCACAAACACATATCGTCTCAGCCAGCTAATGACCCGGCTTCGTTCTATGCTTTGTTCTATGGGGGACAAGGCTTTTTCGGCAGCAGCTCCACAGCTCTGGAACACTACCTGCAGGCCCCAGTCTGTGGAGTGCTTAAACAGCTGCTCTGTGGACAGAGCAGTTCAGGAAGGCCTACTGCTGATGTGCACGTATTGTGAAGTCTTTATTCTGATCTTTTTGATTGAGTTTTTATGTGCTGTGCCGTTTTTATTATAGATTCATGGCTGTAGCACATAAAGCAGTCTGATTTGTCACAAATTATACTTTTGCCAGACTTTCTGTAAACTTGTATTCCTGATGAACCAAAATAGTTCTGTAGATGTTGCCAATAACATGACACATTTGATCACAGGCAGTTTATCCACTTTATAAATTTACTTCCTGATTGTAAATCAGGGCAAGAATCCACAGCTGTGTTGTACACTATGGCTGAAAACGACTGGATTTAGATTACAGAAATATGTAATGAATTATGTTATGTAATAATATTAGTATAACAATGATTAGAAAATATTACATAAGTGCTGTGAGGATGCATCAATAAGTATCCCTGGTGTCATCAGTTCTCTACTCAACTTTTTCAACTTCCATAGTGAAACAGCTATAATGTGCAGTTCAAACAGGAACCATTCCACCGCCCCCAATAACATAGAAAATAATGAAAACCTAGACAATCATGTGTAGGTCTAAAAGTAGGTGTGTATATCCCAGAATGTGTTACTGCTCCAGGTCACTGGCATCACATGGAGACTCACTGACAAAGCTTTTGTTGTGGGAGAGTCTCAACATTATTATTTGGGCAGCACACTGTTCCTGCCCCATGCCTGAGGTCCCAACACCAACCTGAGAGCTGACGTAGAGTTTCAGACACTCTTCACACACTGCCATCCCACAGCAGGACAAGGGTACGATGGTTTTCGACTCCAGGCACACCCGGCACAGCTGCGCCTCTGCGTCATCCTGCTCTGTGGAAAGCCGGTGGGACAAGTCTGCAAACGGATCCACCAGGTCGTCCAGTGTGAAAAGATCTGGCTCTAGGCTTGGACCGGGATACATTTCCATCTCCAATTGAGGGACAGAATAAAAGTCATGTTCAGGCAAAGCCACCATTTCATTTGAGTGGTTTGGTAATTCATAGTCTTGCACATTTGCGTCATTGGCAATGCAGTAAACAGTGCAATACACATGATCTTTGGTATTAAAAGACTCTGATGACCTTATCGTACTTTTATCATTATTAACAATGACATTTTGGCACTCTGAAACAACTCCTTCTGGCTCACTCGAGGTGCGTTCGTTATTGACTACGGGTGCTTCCGTTTCCAAACTGGACTTTTTCTCTTCTCTCGCGGCAGTGATATTTCTGGAGTCGTCCTCTGGTGCACACGGAGTTCGGGTGCAGACGTTCAAACAAAGCGAAGGAGATTTGGACACGGTTCCGAAATTCCTCCTGAGTATTATTTCCACTGCGCTGGCCCTGCGTTTCTGCCCCCCTCCTCCGCTGCCACTGTTGCAGTTGTTGTTGTTATTCCCTTCCGCATCATTCTCATCCATATTCCCGTCCACATCCACGGAGGACAGATGCGAGTCCGACAAGGCGACACGGCCACGCAAATCAACCACTGCTCGCTCAACTTTGCCATCGGAGAAGGAAGTTTCAGCCGACAGATTGCGAGACAGTTTAGCCCTCCCGTCCTCGAAACTGCTAATAAAACTCGGCATGGTGGATTGGTCATCTACGGGTCCTTCATCTTCCATGCCCGGTTGAGCTCGCCCCCCATTTAACGAGCGCCCCAGTGCGGCTGTCAACACGCCGTCTCTGCCTGTCTTTCAGCTCTGATCAAAAACATAACAAAGCAGCTTCCGTGTGTGACGTCAGCGTGCAGGAGGCGGACCAATGAGGAGAATTCGAGATTATGGTAATTTATAATTATGTCACATACATTATACATTGTATTGATTCGTATGTATTATGTCACATACATTATACATTGTATTGATTCGTGTCCCATTACTAATAATAATAATAAAAAACAAATAATAATTTAAAACGGAGGAGTGTGCTCATGTTCCTTGGAAGGCATACAAACTCTTTTGAACCCTGCTCCGCACCGGATTCATGAGATAAAAGCATCTCCGTTTTTACAAATTACATCTGTGCCATGTTACATATATATATATATATATATATATATATATATATATATATATCAACACCCGTGTCTTGTAGGAGCCATATAAACCATCTTGGATTCTTAAAGGTTTAGGAAATAACTTCCCTCTCCACTTTTTTAACAAAACTCTCTGGTCCTATCTGACGAGCATGTACCACCAATAGTCTTGATGATCCACCTGGAAGTAGAAAATCCTCCTATATACCTTTAAGAGCACAGGAAGAGCATTGTCCTCTGCTCAAATTCTGCTATACAAATAAACTTGCCCTGCAAAATAGAAATAGTAGTCTTTATTAATTGTGTGGAATATTTATTTCTTGTATTTAAATTGTTCAAGTTAAGGATTCAATTGATGTACAGTACAGACCAAAAGTTTGGACACACCTTCTTATTCAAAGAGTTTTTTTATTTTCATGATTATGAAAATTGTAGATTCACACTGAAGGCATCAAAACTATGAATGAACTCATGTGGAATTATGTACATGCTAAAAGAAAAAGTATGAAACAACTGAAAATATGTCTTATTTTCTGGGTTCTTCTAAGTTGCACCTTTTGCTCTGAATACTGCTTCACTCTTGGCATTCTTCAAGCTGCATAGGGAGTCAGTTTGCTGGGAGAAGTATGGTAACTTGAGCACTATCCTCTCCCCCTTCCTACTTTATCTGTTTAGCATTTTTAGGATTTTGACTGTAGTTTGTTCATTGCTATTCACCCGTTGTCCCATTGTCTGTTTCATGGTACGATGACGGGATCTCTGAGCCTGGCCTCCTCCATCTGCACCTGCGGACTGCCCCGCCCGACCCGCCTGGGAGTGCTTCGGTCCTGCACCGGACCTGTCCACGTTCAGCTGCCACTGGTCCACGTTCTGTAGCTAGCTTAGGTCCTAGATCATTAGCCTGTCCGTCCGGAGGAGCGGATCCCTTTCTCATATGGGTCTCCCTCCCTGTGGGTTTCCCTAGTTCTCCTCCAAGGTTTCTCACTTTTTCCCACTGGGTTTTTTAAGAGTTTTTCCTTGTCGATGCAGGACAGTTAGTGTCCAACAGAAAGGATTGGTGATGATCAGGACACTTTAACATTCTACAACATGTATGGACATTTTCTTCTGTGTGTGCTTTATACTGTATTCTTCATGTGTTTTAACTGTTGATTCTCTGACCTGTGTTGGTGATTTCAATGGTTTTGTTAAGTCCTCTGAGATGACTTCTGTTGTGACCTAGGGCTATACAAGAATAAATTGTATTGTATTGTATTCTCTTGATGAGCTTCAAGAGGACCTGAAATGGTCTGAGTTCCCACAGATGCTTAGCACTTGATGGCCCTTTCGCCTTCACTCTGTGGTCCAGCCCCAAAACCATCTGGATTGGGTTCAGGTCCGGTGACTTTGGAGGCCGGGACCCATCATTCTCCTTATTGGTCAAATAGCCCTTACACAGCCTGGGTGTGAATCTACAGTCAATAGTCATGAAAAGATAGGACACTCATTGAATGAGAAAGTGGGTCCAAACTTTCGGTCTGTACTGTATATTGTAAGTACAGGAATAAAATTGGATCTTATTATATGATTTGTTAATGTTTTATCACTTTCACTCCATGGAAGTATCTATCCAGACATCTATGTGTGTTAGTTTGTTTGGATATGATAATATACAATAAAAAGAGAAATGCACAAAATCCAGAGTACATTTAAAAAAATTGCAAGTTTTTTTAACAGAATTTTATAATTATTATTAAACCAGCGAGTCCAAATACAATAAGACCTAATCAAATTGTTCTAAAGTGTCCACTCGAAAATGATTCACGTCCATTGTGATCACATCCATTCAGAATCCTCAATTTCCATGCCATTTAGCTGAGCCTTTACCTCATAAATGACACCTTAACAAAGCAGGGTGAAATTAAATTGGACGTGTACATTTTTAGTTCAGGGCTGTTGGCGTGTTTCAAATGAGCCTATTTGGGCCAGTGCCTGTGAAAAGCCTTGTTAGCGGTGTTACAATTCCTCATTAATGACACGAGCGCCAGGAAAACTGTAATTAGTTCTCTGGTCCTGGCTCAGCTCAATTGGTTTTTCATAAAGAATGCCAACGTGCATGTTGTGCACTTTGAAGGCCAGAAAAAAACAATTTCTTAGATTGTTGATGTAAAGAGGCCAGAGAGTGAATAAACACTTTTGAATTCTGTAAAAGGCTAAATTAAAAATTGTAAAAGTACAAAAGCTATAAAAATAGCCTAAATAACAGCCATTTAGGCTCTTATTACAACTTTTTGCACAGTGTAATTTTTCAATTTTTTGTTTACTTAGTTTAGCTTGTTTCCCATTTTAGCCTAAGCGCACCACCCACTTGTCTTCTCTAACTTTTGGCGCGTGTATTGGCAATGAGCTGAAACAATATGTCCTTTGGTGGTGGTTTGACCATAGTTCATACCGTTACAATGTTTTATTGTTTGTACAAATGTGGGCTATGCTTTGAGAGCTGACACAGTGACATCAGATCATTTGTACACACACAATGTTGGAAGTGACTAGTTACTTTTGTAATATATTACAAAGTAAACATTTAAAATCAAACTAAGTTACATGTAAAATTCATATAAGTGATATTTGCTTTGTTTTCTCAGTTATAAAAAATATTTTAGGAAACAAAGTTGATCATTATCAAAAACAAATGTTATGAAAGTATTTGAAATTAAACCAATGCCGTTTGAACTCTATCAATGTGATATAATTAGTGTTCTGTACCAAAAGTAACACACATTAAAAACAGTAACATTGTAATAAAAAAAATATTGAGTTTAGACTGAAGCTGAAAGATGACATTTAATCCCAGCAACTGGTAAAATAAATATATAAACATTTTGTAATGGAATGTCTAAATAGCTCATACAATGGTTAAAAAATGGGCGGCACGGTGGCTGAGTGGATAGCACTCTTGCCTCTCAGCAAGAAGGTCCTGGGTTCGAATCCCGGTTGGACCAGGGCCTTTCTGAGTGGAGTTTGCATGTTCTCCCCGTGTCTGCGTAGGTTTCCTCCGGGTGCTCCGGCTTCCCCTACCACTAAAAATATGTGCAATAGGTCTGGCATGTGCCTCCTGTACTGGCACCCCCACTCCCAAAAATCACAATTGTAAACCGCTTTGAGACTCCGATGTGCAGTGAAAAGGCGGTATATAAATAAAGATAAAAAAAAAAAAAAAAAAAAAAAAATTGGTTGAAACAAAATGGGTTGAATTGACCATTATATCGTTCAGAATTCCAAATTTGCATCGGTTGTGCACTATCCCAAAAATAGAACCTTATTCTCCTCCACAAGTCTGATATATGTCCAACTCTTTTTAGAGTGGAGTTTGACTATAACCAGACCCTTCATTTTGTCATACATAATGTATTGCAGTGATTTAGCAATGCGGGCCCCAGCTCAGGGCAATAGGAAGTATGAGCCTATGTCCTCAGACAGACTCGGGAATGAAATAGTTGGCACACTTTGCTGATTAAAATTTAACTTTTCACAGGCCTGAAGATTTGGACTATCTTGGCCCGACACGAAAGACAGAATCCCACGAGAACACCGCGTCTCTCTGAAGCGCCCTCGTTTCCTCTTAATAAGAATAATGTTGGCAATGTGTCAGGCAAAGGCACACAATTAGACGTCTCTCCACTCGCCTCGCCATATTCCCAACAGTCCACTTTGAGCCAGTCACCTGTGGAAATCCCTCATCAGAATTGGTTTTAAACTAACACCGATTGTTTAAGTAACAGGTGAGCAATTACAAATCCTCTCAGAGCTTTAGGGACGGCACGGACATTAATGTAAGCTTATTATTGATAGTGGAGGACGACACAACCCCCTTTATAGATGGCTGCTCGCACATACAAATGAGAATGTGAATAGCTGGGGCACTTGAAACCAAATCAATTTAATGAAGCTGCAGATGTTGCATTTGTCCTACAAAATGTACTATTTCCAATTCTACAAAGACACTGCCAGCAGACTTCTCTATTATTTATACATTTAATCAGCAGCATATTCAGGCGCCTGTATGCACTGGGTGTTAACTCAAAATGCTCATAATAAAGAGATTAACAGAGATTTTGCACTTCAGAACAGACTTACAAAAGCATGACTTAATGTTTATTGAAACGCTGCTTCGAAAGAGTAACTGGCCCAGCGCTGGATGTGTTTCACAAAAGCTTAGGTCTATATAAAGAACTGATTTCTCAGAGCAGAAAAGACTTAGAGGGAAAAGTTTTGTAATTCATCTAACAGTCTTTTCATAACAGCGTGACAAAGTGCTTGTGTAATGGTCGCGTGGCCTGTTTCCATCAAGACAAGTACTAAGAAGTAAGCTGTGGTGGGTAAGAAGCTTTGAACAATACAATTACTTTTAAAAAAATGTAAAAAGTAGACTGCCTAGTTATCAAGAACGAATCTTAAAAGCAAACAAAGGCCTGATGTTTTTATGAAGCAGAATTGTGGGTCTGTGGGTTTGTCACTTTTGTCACATTCCAAACATGTAATCTCTGTGAGAAAATAAGATTAGTATAACTGAGTGTAGTGTAGCAAACACGTAACTATGTACTTTGTTCAATGTTATCACACTACACTACATAAGGTTACTGCCTACTCTGTTAGAAAATACTTTGATTTCTATTGGCAACATCTCTTCCCTGAATGAAATAGGATTAAACCTCAGACTCAGTAACTTGTTGTCAGTATATCTAAAATAATTATATGGTGATATTTTGTTACTTGCTTTGTGGAGATCTGTCTTAACCAGACTTTTGTTGTTGTTGTGTCTCACTGTTGATAAGATGAACATTTCAAACTATTGTTACTGAAACTGCCTTGAAACTTAAACTAATATCTATTATTGTCCTTTGGTCAGTGAGGCTCTCTGGCAAGTGAAGTGAAAGCCCATGTCATGACATATTCCTTACTCTGTAAATAGTTGATAATTCTAAAACTCAGGATGTGCCTTGTGCATGAATTGTGCTATATAAATAAACTTGCCTTGCCTTGATATAGTTCTTTTGTGTTTCTTTATATCCTTGTTCTGTACTACTTTCATTATAATATGTAAAGTTTGACTGCAATTGACTTTTGGTGGTGCGGTACTAGAGCTTTTTGCTTCAGTCCACTCCTTTTGTGCAGTTTCAAATACATACATAAATAAACAATGTAATGTGTTCTACAGCATAGCTACTTAAAATGTAATTACTATAACTTAAGTATTTGTGGCTGAGTTACACCCAACACCTACATACTGTAATACATATTTATACAGAACTTTTCACAGCTAAGGGTCAAATACATTTCTTCATTTTGGTCTATTTTCCATTCAAGGTGTAGTAAGAAACGTTTGGTCTAATTCACAGACTACTGTATATAAATGTGGGCGTACAAGCAGATGGCACACCATTCCCCTGAAAACTTGCATTGTGCCCTTTTATAATATTTAGACAAACATCGTTAGCTGAACAAAAACGTGATTGTGTTTGGGCCTGTCACGCTAATTACAGACTTATTGTTCCTAATTACAAAACAATTTGGGATATCATCTATAATCTAATGGTGTAACTATTGCTATTACTAATAAGTGCAGCTCTAGACTGTCATTTTCACGTTGATAATTCTGCCTTTACTTGATTCAGCTCTGGCCTTCCTGTATCGTGTATCGCAATATTTATCATTTGTAAACATTTCCTGTTATGGCAGACCAACATGTAAGCTCATTTTGACATTATGTAACAATATGTATTTATTAGTAGTTAAACAAAGCTATAAAAACCCAAAGCTTATAAATAATTGGCTTTAAACAGACGTGAAAATGACATTGTTGTGGTTAAAAACAGTCGTTGCAGGATTTTGAGCTGTCAAAAATAACACTTATTTTCAGCTCAACATGATTGGCTTTAGATCTAAATCCCTTTTGTAATGTAACCATCGCTTCATGTTTATTTTCCAAATGAAACATAACACTTTTCGTAAATGTTGACAAATTCCCTGTGTGTACGTTAATCATGACGAACCACAGGGACCGACTGCAGTATAATTATTCCCTTTTACCTTTTGTTCAAAGCGTGCGAATGGGTCGCTTTCAAATCTAATTAAACTCATTTGCTAATACCACCGCTATTTCTTAATTAAACCTGGAAACCGGTAATGGACGCGCCGTGCCCCCCCCCCCCCCCCCCAACCCCATCCCCTCCCTTTTCCACTGAAATTTAGCTCAAAGACACTCCATCTTTAATCATTTATTTATTAAAACGCACTGTGCAGTCTTTGTTGACATATTAAATATAAATTAATCAAGTTAAATTAGCCATCAGCTGGATTCTATACTTCTCCAGCCTTCCAACATAGAATGACATGTTTTCTATAGTGCATCTAAAGCTCTGCTCTTTCTTCTCTCCTATCAAAAAAGCACTGTACACTTAAGAAATAAAACATCCCACTCACGTACACAACAACGTACGGTATTAGTTCGACTAGAAAAAACAGTAAACACGGCCACATGTGATTAAAAAACGTCTAGAAGGTCAAAGTTACAGATTTTTTTTTTTACAGTTACTATTTTCTCCTTTAACTCTTGCAGACATGATCCTGTTACGTACACAGTCTAGAAAAGAACACAGGGTTCACATTGAGGGCTTTGAGAGAGAGAGAGAGAGAGTCCAAAAAGCAGTTTCTCTCCCGAGTCACACACGGCATGAGATTATATACGTTTCCAAAAACACCTCATGCAAACACGAATGCCGCTTCGGAATCGGTCGCTCGATAGTTTCGTCGATTCTTGCTCCTGCGGATGTTGTGTGTTCTACGGAAACAGTGAGAGGAGACTTTGTGATCAAGTTTGTGAAATGTTTGTTCGTCTCAAACAGATTTCCCTCGTTGTCGGCTGATAAAGAAAAGGCCTCAGAATGTTTGGTCCGATGATCACGAGACAAAGAAAATACACATCGTAACAAAGGGATCGATTTTTGCAAAAAAGGGGTAAAGATAGAAGCCGGTTTCTATGCTAAATGTAATACAGGCGGGGGAGTCATTCTGGTATTGGCACTTCACAGTCAGGAAGAAGATAAAAGTGCTGCTCCCTCTCAATCGTTTTCTAAGTCAGGAGCCATTTCTACTAAAATAGTTCTCGAAGATTACATCTAGCACATACTTTGATCTGAAGGTTTTTCTACACACATTCAGTAGGGATGTAATGGTACACAATGCTAGTGCAAAAAATAATTAATACTGTTAAATAATACTTAAATATACACAAATGTACAAAACATGGTTGTATTTGGGTTAGCTACGTTCACACTGTTGGATTTCAACTTCATAAAGTGATTGTTTTTATTTCAAATTTGGCTAAAAATACAAAATAATACTGCAGAACAAAAATGACTTGATAAAATGGAAATGAAAAAAAAAGGCGTGTACCGTCACATCCCTAAAATAAACGTTCTCTAACACATCATTAGGCCACTTTGTGATTGTCGATTTTTGAATGTTTTCAAATGCACCAGTTTTAGTTTGCATTATGTTAGTAGTTTGTCGACTGAATGTGGCGTTGCCGTGTGAACCGGACCACAGCCCTTTGAGGCTATGACATTTTACTTGTAGTGAATGAACACAATTTGTTTCTATGGCCGGGAACATCCCAAGGCTGTGGGGGGACTGCAGCACATATAGCCTAAGGTCAGTCCTGTCCTGGGAGGCCTCTTCGGTTCCTGTTTCCTTTCCACAAGACAGACAGAAACTCTATTGTAAACATTGTTAAGATTCACATTATTAGTAACAATGGAGTCTGCTTTCTGTACATGCACGTGTTTTCACATTCAGAAGACATTGTTCATTTTGAGGATGCTTCCAGCTTTGAAAAGAGATGACATTCCAAGTTTTAAGGTTTGATCTGTAGAAAGGTGTCAACGTGAAGTCGTTTTATTGTCCGTGTGTGTGACGCCCAAGCTCTTTGGTCATGCTTATCTGCACACAAGATACCAATACTGTACATTTCACAAGCTTTGTTGAGTGATGGCTTGACTGTAACATCGATATGTTTAAAAGCCGTGTGCGTCTTCCCCAACTTTAGTTTTCCTTCAGATGCAGAAAACTAGTCTGGCTCCAAAGCGCAGTGTCCAGGTCTGATCCACAGGGGGCAGTGTTTCATCAGGAAATGGCCGGACCGCAGTTTGCCACACAGCACACAGAGCCAGAGGAGGAGCAGTAGTCAGCACCGTGGGGGGTTATACACTTTACTTTTTGTTCAGTCTCGTGGTACAAAAGGAGCAGAAGCAGGAGTTTAAGCGGTGGTGACTGGCAACTGAGAGGTCCAACTAGAAGCTGGGGCTACTTTGACCTGGACACACAAAAAAACAAAAAACATGGTGCTTTTTTAGTTCCACTTTCATTCACACACCACTAATGATTCAAGCATTATAGTACTTAATCTATGACTCAAATACTATTACAAAGATACCAATGAGAGCACATGTCTGTCAGCCGAGTATACATGTATTTGTATAAAGTAGACATTTGAAGTACATATTTCTATAAAGATTTGTTATGCATGCCTTTAAATATATGTTTAAATGTTGTAAATTGAACCAAAGCAAATTGCTAGTTTGTGTCTTCCTGTTACTTAAAATGGAAAATAAAATAATTCTGATTCTGACACATAAACAGAAGACCCATTAAAGGGGCTGTATGTAATTTTCACTCCTACTGGGTTAATGAATGCATTATTATCACAATACGACTTTTGTCAGAAAAGTAGAATATCGCTCAAAAGTCTATTTACTTCTGTGATTTAACTTACAATGTGAAATGTATATACGACGGACTCATAACACGCAATAGGAGATATATAAATATACTTGTTATAACTCACTGCCCTGACGAAGACTCTGGTCGAAACGCGTCGGTCTATCATTAAAAACTAACACAGTTCTCAGAGTGCCTCCTTCTCCATTTTTTCTTTTGCAAGCATTTTTCTAAAACCCTTTAGTCGGATGAGCACCTGTTAGTGTTTTTACTTTTGTTTGATCCAGTGCAGCACTCCTACAACCCCTTCACTCAAATACTTGTTATAATGTTATAAAAAAAACCCGGAAATAACATAATAACAAAGACATATGGGTCTATACCATATATTGGTTTCTCATTTTAAATTGAATTGCAGAAATAAATGGCTTTTTGAACAATAATCTAAGTTTCAACTGTATACTGTAGCACCTAAGTACTGATTACAGATGCAATCCACTTGCTGGGGGTTAGCTAGAAATGGCACAAACTCTGTGTATTACATATTACTGGTCTTACATTTTGTTGCAGACTGTTTCTTTAAACAAATCTGGCAACCCAAATAGGAGACACATTCCGCTCTCTAATTGGAAAATCTTAAAAGCTTTGTCATGTCCATTTTTAATTAAGAAAAAAAACTACTTTAAACTTTTGTTCAGAAAAGGCTGAATATGATTTGTACATTCTGACCTGTTATCTGCAGGGGACTCACATAAAAGACATAGATGTAATTTAAAATGAAATTTCAGCGTGCGGCTCCTTTAAGCTCAGTCTTTCATCAAACCACAACTTTGTAACAGTTCATTAAATACGACTAATAACTTCTGCACAATGTGTGACATCAATATTTCATGTAAGAATACAATCTTAAATTTACATACACTGTAAATTGCGTCTAACCTCTTTCCCTCCATGTGTCGTATTGATCTATGTGTCTTTTGTCTCCCTTAAAAGCAATTTCCGTTGCTATTTCATAAAGGGTACCATTGTGCTCACAAGAACATTACTTCTTTGATACACCTTCAAAAGTGATCTAGGTTCCTCTATAGTCACTCCCTGAGCTAATATCGTATCACCAACCTCAAACAAAACCCTAAGGAGGCTCCAAGTCTTTCACATCACGTGCCTTGAAATCAAAATAGATCCGTATCAAAATCATGGTTAACGACGAGGAGAATCAATCGTTATACATTGGATTTCATCAGATAATAATCCAGTTTCAGGTATTTTTACTAAACACTCTCGCCTGTTGGGAGTTTTGGAATTTTTTTCACGACAGGTCTGTTTGTGATATTTCTGCTGCAAAAGTGACGCTTTAAATGAAAGCGTAGCGGGTATGCAAAAGTGTGCGTGCCTGTGCTTCTGTTGCATTCATAACATCGAGAAGAGCCTGTTAGAGCAGCCAGCAGCCGCACGGGTCATGATCACCGTTTTGAATGGTTTACTTTGTTTACTGTACTATCGAAAGTCTCTATTTCTGCAATGGTAAGATTAAAAGTGATTTGTACAAAGAACCCGCCTCACCTCTTCTGTTATGCTGTGAAAACTCGTCACTGTAAAGGCATCCTGTATTCTCACTACTGCTTAGGCTTTCAAAAATAATATTACATCATCTTAGGGGTAAAAGGGGTTATGTTTTCATCTGGGTTTGTTTATTTGCCTGTTAGTTAGAGATTTAATTAGCAACATAGCTGAAAAAGTGATGGGTGGATTTTTGACAATTTCCAGTAAATCTTAAGAAACCACAACAATTGGTTAGAGTTTGGAGATTATCTGGAAAAACTGTCATTTCAAGCGATGGAAACCGTGTGGTGAAAGTCTGTGCTGTGCGAGGGCTTTTCTAGGTTGACTTATGTAAATGAGCTTAACTGTACATTGTGTTCATGTGACATCACAACATTCCAAAGAGCCTATGGTTTAGTTTAGAGGCTAATTTCTCTGTAATCCCTGGGCCAATCCACATGGCACAAATGTTGACAACTTCTTGATCAGCATACAGCAGGGGTCTCCAACCTATTTCAATCAGAGAGCTACTTTTATGCAACAGAAAAGACAGAGAGCTACCTTTTATTAAATAACCCTAACCCTTTTATTATGACTGCCTTTTTGCAGTCATAAATCAAATCTATGTAATGATTGCAACAAAACACGGAAAGACTAGTAAAATTGACCATAATACTGTATAAATCTATATTTATACAGTATTATGGTGAGCTACTGGTAGCTCCCGAGTTACAGGTTGGAGACCCCTGGTAGACAGTATATGTCAGTGATCTAATTATTTTCCCATAAAGATGTCTAGAAGTAGGGGTGGGAACCTAAGGGTACCTCACGATACGATACGTGATACAAAGCTCACGATAACGATCATATTACGATATCACGATTATCAATATATTGGTCAGCAATATACCATATGTAAGGGATAACGTATATTACGCAGGTCATTATCGGAAAATAAGTACCAACAGTGCGAAGCGGTGCGCGGAGGGGTCTGCTTCTAGCAGCATTCTACTGCTGCTGTGAGGAGCCGTATAATAAGCCAATATATGGCATACATAAAATAGAAAAATATAAAATGAAAAAATACACTTTATTTCATGATAAATGGAATGGAGATGTGCAATGTAGCCATATATTAAGTATTGATACTAATTAATAGACAAAAATTAGACAAAAAATAAAAATAAAATATTTTTATTTCAATTCTTGGCAAATGCATATCGATTCTTGGCAAATGCATATCAATAAACGATCGCAGGAGAAAATATCGCAATATATCGAAAAATTTATATATCGTCACACTCCTATCTAGAAGTGATGAAAATATTCAAAAAACACATGCTGATGTTGGCCAGTAGAAACAATTCTCAGACATGTAGAATAATATGACAGGCTTTTGAATATAATCACTAAGAAATATTGATCGTCAAAATATCTCCCTCATTAGTGTTTCAATCTTAAAACGCACTTTTAATCTCTGGCTTTTAACACCGCATGAGTTATGTGGTCCTGTGTTTTATTTATTCTATTGTTTTATTTTTATATAGATAACTGGTATACAAGAATTACAAGAATTGATTTGCCATTGGCAGTAAAACCACCTTGGAAAAACTGTGCAAGACTACCCCAGTGTGTACTAAACAGAGAAGACAGCACACACCAGAGCTCTTGCCACGGTATTTTATTTGTATTTTTTTCAACTTCATACATCATAATGTTTTTCTCATTCTATTTCTTAACACATACAACGCTGGCAAACCTGTATTTTTTTTTTTTTATCTCTGTGCAGCACTTTGGAAACCTGTTTTCTATACAAACAAAGCGGATTGGATGATCAGGGAAAATATTCTTTAAAAATGCCTTCTCTCCCACAGACTTGTATTGGCACTTGCTTTCTAACTGAAAAAGAATTGGAGAACATGAACGCAGCCTACTGTATGTTATTGATCATCGCAGCCTGCTCCCCCAATGAACTACATTTTACACATGGCTGTTGCTCTTCCACAGATGTAATAAATAAGACTCCACTAAAGAACGTGGCATTTCAAACGGTGTCTGCTTTTGCCCTAGTTTCAGTGCGTGTAGATTTTGCACATGAGCTTGATAAATCTGTCCCTAAATACATATGCCTTAAGGACGGCCTAAGATGAAAGAGTGTAAGTGCATTTAGTATAACGAGAATAGTGTAACCCTCCGAATCCATTTCTCTGTTGACACTTTGTAAATGCGAGCTGTTTTATTGGAACCGATGGCCTAGCTTTCACCCAGCGTTTAATTACAGAGCGTCAATATGTCTTTTCTCACTGACTGGGCTTATTGGGGAAAATTTCCTACTCATTTTCACCATTTGAAGCCAATCATTAGTCACAATCAAGAGCTAAATTATGAGCCTGTGATGGTTGCTTCACGATGCAGAAAAGATTAGGGTTTTTCTCCAGAGTATTACGAGAAAAAGGGATGCAGTGTCTGTTAAGAAACCAATCAATCAAGACATTATTCAAACAACCAACCAAATAATTGATGTTAAAGCCCTATTGTGGAAGCGCTATTGTTAATCAGAATAAAGCGCGCGTCCTATCTACAGTCAAACCGGCTCAAATGATGCAATTTCTGAACTGATAAAATATGGATCTTTTCTGTGGAAGAAATATTATGCACTATTTTTGCCCATTCAAAATCCTTGGACAATTACTTTTTTTAGTGTGTTTTTAGAGTGTGAAATATTATTCAGTAAAAAATATATGGTGAAATGAGTATGACCACTAAAAAAATGCACCCTTATACTACCACTAGAGCGAAGTTGAAATAGTTGGCTTTTTTCCAAATTTGAAAAATTACCAGCAGCAAACACAGCCACGCGGTGGTTAAGAAGAAACTGCCAAAATTAATTTCATTTTCTTTTAACGGGGATGTCATAGTGGTACAATGACATCATACTATCACAGGACTGAACCATAGACTGTATATATTAATGGACAGAGTCACGCCTATCTCCGCCGTTCTAACTAATGGGCCAAAAAATGTGCTCTACTGGAGCTATCCAAAATGGCCGCG